GAGCCATTACAGAGCTAATACCTTTGATTTTAAGTCCTTTGTAACCTTTCCCCTTTCCTTTCGTGGATGTATATGTGTTCCAACCTATTCCCCTAGGTTTTGAATGCATTCATAAACTTTACTTCCTTTTAACCCTTAAGTATTTGTTGCGGATCATTTTTAATTGGACTTCACAAACAGAGTTTGGGGCAACATACTTCCAGCCATTTTTTAAAAGGGACTAGGTAATAAATGCCACAGAGAGAAGTGGGGAACAGTGAGTAAATAACAAATTTAATCTTTCCCTCCACTAAAAGCTACTGAAGTTACAACATAGGACTTTCCAGCTAAACTGTGGAAGAAGCAAGGCATATATAGAGCAAAACAATCCCTCAACTAATGGATCAGATCAAAGCTCTGTTCTATAGCCAATCCAGTTGTGGATGGTGATCGTCATTTAAGCAACTTAAACAGAGGAGGAAGCTATATTAACATGCCCACCTTCAATAGTATGTTAGTTCAAAAGACTAGTCTGAAACATTTGTGACCTTCAGACATGGCAAATGGTTGATCCATCTTGGCCTCTTAGTGAGGTACCCAGCATCACACATTCCAGTCTTCAGCCAATTTACATTGTATTATCGTGTGCAGAGAATGACATCACCACACATTTTTTCTGGAATGTACAAGAAAATTAACAATATATTTTACTAGCATTGCTATTTGTATAATGAGCCTGAATTTCTTGCGATTTGATTCAATTAGCAGGATTACAAACGCCCCACCCACCTAAAAGTGGCAGGGACAGTGGTTAGAAGGACAAGTTATTGAGTGAGTTGGCCCCAAAGAGATACTGATTCCCTTCAGGCCTCATTAGCAATTAAGTTCTGGTGAGATGGTCCATGGTCAAACTTCCCAACCTGCCACTAAGGTCCTTAACTGGTCAGTTAATGTCCAATGAACTGCCACTAGCCCAATTATCTGATTTCACAGCAGGTAAGAAGTGGCTGCTTTCCTGACTGGGAAGATAGGACTGCTGCCAGGTTAGTTTGCCAGAGTCTGGGAATATAAATGGGGCAGAGGGTAGCCAATGGAAGCCACCACTCCCTGTTATGATATCCATCCTATGATTTATTCCAGACAATATAATTTACCTTCTGGCTGGTCCCAATCTTCACAGTTGCTCTACAGCCAGTAGGCTGGGCCTCTGAGCAGTCTTGGTAGCTGCAGTCTCTGATTGGATGGCAGCTTCAGGTACTGTGGGGTGTGACTTCTCTTACATCACCTGACAGTTTGGGAAGCCTGCTGTTTGGCACATGACCTGACAAGATCTCCTCTACTGAGGGCAGGAGCTCTCTCTCCTTAAAAATGCCCAAAATTAAAAGGAAAATCCCAGCCAATAAGAAAATATGGCTGTCTACATGTTACACAAAGAACCTTCAAAGTCTCAGAGGACTGTTCTCTCATTAGTTTAGACAACTGATGGTGAGTTTAGCCTGAGGGTCACCATGCTTCAGGTGAGGGGACAGTCCTTTGTGGAGACCTCAGCCAGAATGGGAATTGAACCCACCCTGTTGGCAGCACTTTGTGTTGCAAGCTAGCTGTCCAGCAAACTGAGCTAACTTAAAAAGTCGTCCAGATGAGGAATTGAATTTTTTTGGGACAATTTCTTAGATCAGCATGTTACAGCACCAACCAGAGAAAGAGCAAGTTTTGACCAACAAGATAGGTTTAATTACTGACGTAACAATGAAAGCACCCTTGGGGTAGTAGCAAAATAAAATGATTGATTTTTACACACAATTTGTTGGGAGAGAAATGTTGGTCCAAGTCTGCTATTTTCAATTTAAGCAAGAGCAATCATGAGTATATGAGAGCAGGGCCAGCAGATGTGAACTAGTAATTTAGGTTAAGGGACAGCTTATCGTTGTACATCTATTGAATGGTGTATGTTGTCCACAGAAATGTGGAAGAGCAGAACAGTGGATGAAAATGTTACTGAAGGGTAGAATAAGATGCCATAAGGCATTTTAATATCTCTTGCATTTCTCTTTATAAATCAAATGTAACCACTTATGATCTCAGCCAGCATGTAGAGCTCAACTCTAGGTGTTAGGAAAGTGCAGTTTGGAGAACATATGGCTGAAGGGAGAAGAGTTCTAACTGTAGACATCATGGCTGAGGCTCATATTGAACATTTTTGAAAAATAAAGACAATTATAACTGAATAAGGACACGTCAGGGCAAAACAGAGACAGTAGCTCACCCAAGACATTCTGTTCAAAACAACTCTCCTGGACAATAGCCTGTATATGTGGGAATAGCGCTCCTTCCTGCCTTACCCAGATACAGATAGAATGTACTGAAATAGATGCACAATGTTATGACCAGAATCGGTGGAGTACACTGTTACTCAAGTCCCATTATTCCACAGTTCAGAATGTAATACAAAAAATATTTTACTCAACTCCCAATATGGTCAATCACATGCTTTCTCTAAATTAGACTTTGAAAAGATCCAGTAACCAGGTTTCTTTAATAAATGGTTTTAACAATTAATTATAAAACAAAACGAGCCAATGAAGATTCAGATTCAGAGTCAGATAATAGGTTGTAATATTAAAGTATAAATGTTTATCACTCTAAATAATCCAAAACACACACATACACACACACTGCAGATAAAAAGAGAACAATGGATTTTTCTCTGCAGAATTTCACTTATAAACAAAAACGCACTCTGACCAAAGAGGGCTTTCCATGAAGGAAAAATGCAACTGGTGTAGAATGTTCTGAAGACCTTCATTATGGAGTTCTTGCATGTGCAGTCAACGCACTAATCATGTATGGTTGTCTCTGCGGATCTTGGCAAACTCAAGTTTGGAAATAAAATATTGACAAGTTCTTTCAGTCAGTCTTCCAGAAGAACAATTAGGTTTCACCTGGCTCACTCCGCTCAGCTGTTTCAGACAGCTGGCTTCTTTCAAACAAATTTCAAATAATCAGACCCTCCATGCTCAAAACATTATTCAAATAGCCCCAACAAAGGACTCTAATGCAAAAAACAATTAACGCATATGTCATAATTTCCAAGAAGCCTTCTTTAAAAAGATTTTAAGGTCCTCAGGATTTTCAGTCACCTATTTCCCAAGCACTATCCCCAAATCAGCCCAGATTCTCTCACAACTTGAAAAAGATCCATCTTCCACACAATACTTCAAACGAAAGTCCTCAATGACAAATTAAATATCAGATGACTTCATAACACCCTGGACACAGCCCCTGAGAGCAGGAAATGATCACGTGAAGTTGATCTTGCACAGCACTGGTGGAATTGATAAGACACCAAAACCAAATTAGATGACAGAATTTGAAGTATTACCTTCTATATCAAGGGACAAGGAAAAGGGTATAAAGCTACAGCCCATAAGGATGTTACGAGTGCAGCAGGAAAAGCTGAGTCACAGGAAGTTATGTACAAGAATTTACTCAGCAGATTGACCATCCAGGAACAAGATCTCGTGTGTGCATCTCAGTAACCAGTGTTAAGAGAGGGCATGGGCAAGGGACTAGCGAGGGAATGTTATAAGATAGGGTGGTGAAAGGAAAGGGTTAAAAGAAGGGACATGAAGAGGAAGAGGTGGTGCAGATGTCAGAGATATAAGAAAGGAGCTAGAAAGAGAGAAAAGTAAGCAAGAGAGCAATTAAAAGAGATAGAGAGGCTGGAAAAAGCGGTGATTGTATTTAAGTAAGAGGGTCAGAACGGGCAAGATTGAGGATTAAGCAGTGAGAGATGGGGAAGAGAGGAACAACAGAGTGGAAAAGGATCAAGAGAATGAGATACAGTCGTAAACAGAAGTGGTATGAGAGAAAGAGTAGGAAAGGCAATAATATAGATAGAATGCCAAAGTGGAGTAGAGTCCAAGTGTCCAAAATTCTGTTCTGAAAGATGTTGAGAGAATCAAAAAAATGGATTCTTTTTGCTTTTCAAGGTATTCAGAATATCTTAAGGCAAAGGGAATAAATTAATGATCATTCTGAAATTCACTTAAATGTAATTAAATCAGTGTGAGAGTTGAAGCTTCCTTTCTGGCAGAGTGATTCTTCAACTTGCAGCGATATTACTGAAAGGCATTTTAATTTAGTGTATGTTACACTGCACAAAGGAGAGGGCCCAAAATAAAGTCACCCAGATCTGAGAAAGGAACATACCAGCTAAGATTGAACAATTAAAAATTTACAATTTCTTCAACTGTATGTGTAAATGGCACACACCCCATCACACTACCTGCATCTGGGACTGCAGAAAATGCAGTCAGCAAATTCCCTGATATAAAACAGATACTACTCAATTAACAATGATGGAACAACTCATTTCACTTCATAATCTTGTTACCTAGAAAAAGGCAACCATTACCCAGTAAGATGTGTGCTAGGCTCAAAGCTAAGGCCTAAGTGTAAAAGTGTGTCAGTCAATTTGCAACTGATTTCTTTGAACAATTCCATATATATTCAATTGCATGGAACCAATGAAAATTACCTCCAAACAGAAAACTTTCCTACTTTGTAATGAATTGAGCAGAAAAATTTATTGAAGACAATTCTTTGCTAGGGTCTTCATTGCATAATCCCATACCCTAAACTGGTAAAATTTACCTTCACGCAAATATTGCATGTAAATCTTTTAGAATTGATTAACAAGTTCATCATCTGAGGAACACTAAATGTGATCAGTTAACTGTAGTCTCTCGTAAATTCCTGCTCCCCGTCTCCCTCATGAATAGTCTCTACCTGTCTGGACCACAATTATCATATTTATCAAATTCTGTATTGTGTAAACAGTATCATAACCACTCTAACAAATCCTAAAAGAGTGGCCTCCCTTGTGCTGGTATTAAAGTACGCTTCAGTAATAAGCTTGAAATAATAACAGAACGTCTTTGTTAATTGTTGCTGGCATGATCCAGTCTTCACAAAACCTCTTTCTCAAGTTCAGAAAGTGATAAAGTACAACATTAAAATTCATTTAAGCTTTAAAATTTAATGGTGAGGTTGAAAAAAAATCATATTTCTACATATTTCTTGATGGCCCATGTCTCCTCAAAAGAAAAATAATGAGAATATTTTGTAAATATCTTCACAGAATTTGTTTCCACTGTAGGAACTGGGACTGTCTGAACAGTACTTTCAGAACTTTCTAACACTTCAGATTCGAGCCGTTTTTGGAATATCAACCAGTCTTGAACAGGATACTTTAACCTTTCAACACTGACAAAGATTTATACAATTATCATAATGAAACAGCGTACAACCGAATTACAACAAGCTTGAAACAGTCTCCAGGGCATTAGCCATCTTTCAGTCGAAGCAAAGTTCCAATAAATTACATCTTAGTATAAACTGGCAGAGGAACACTGCAGTAATATACTCATTGTACTATGGACTGACAACATACTAGTGTGCACCTGTGCCCTGCATGTCACTGTCTTAGTCTTTGTTTCATTTTGGTGAAATGCTGTGAAAGGCAAATGCCTGTGTAAAACTTTTTTTCTCACAAAAGAATCTACCAACCATTCTCCTGGAAAAGTTGACATAGTTGACATTGGTTAGTGGTCCCAATAAGAGTCTGCTTTTCAGCCAGTGAATGATTTTGAATTTGGGCAGGAGTGCAGGTGAGAATCTAAAGATGGGAGAACATTACTTAAGAACTTTAAAATTCAGCACAATGTCCATTATGAATTTTAAATGGAAGTCACTTAGAATCTCTTCCGTTTGATGATCTCTGGCTTCCAGTTGACTGGATGAGTTTCTTCCGTCTAAATCAAAAGAAAAGAGAAAACGTTGTTTATCCACAATAAAGTTAGCACAGAAACAATCCTTAGTTAAAATTTTGTAGAACACCTTTGGAATCTGCCAAGAATCAATTCTTCATCTCTCCTTTTTCTCACCTGCCTGCTATAACTTGTTAGTGTTTTGTGAAAATACAACATTAATTTCCAAACATTGCTAAAGACATTTATATCAACCACATCAGCTGTCTCTTGAGCCCCCTGTTGTCTCTAAATTATCTGACTACTTGCCCAACATCCAATATATCAGCAAAAATTTCCATCAACTAAGTATTGCAAAGGACAAAGCCAATTTCTTCAGCTGCCAACGCAAGTGCCTTTTCATAACATTGAATCCATTCTGATCTCTGGCAACCATCCGAGGCTGTTCACATCCTATGAAGTATTTTGAGATGATCTTCTAGTTGTAGATTCTAAGAAAAACCGAAAGAACTGTGGATGTTGTAAATCAAGAACAAAAACCGAAGTTGCTGAGAAAGGTCAGCAGGTCTGGCAACATCTGTGAAGAAAAAAATCAGAGTTAACGTTTCAGGTCAGGTGACCCTTCCTCAGAACATTATGACCGGACCCGAAAGATTAACTTTGATTTTTTTCTTCACAGATGCTGCTAGACCTGCTGAGCTTTTCCAGCAACATCAGTTTTTGTGTAGATTCTAAGACTTTCTTCTAAAATACAGCATATCAAGGTTTGCTCAACCCATTATTGACATAATAAGCAGATCAAAACCTGACAAATCAATGAAATATTATGTAAATAATGATACAGCATAGAAAATCAGAAAATAAATCAAGCAATTAAAGTGTTAAATATATTTAAGCAGTATGAGAATTTAAAACATTTCCCATAACCAGGTTCTTGGATAGCACTGCCGATAGAGATGTGTAGGATGGCCCTAGTATCCTTCCTAATCTGGCACTTGTGAGATTGTTTACTTTAAATGAGACTTCTAGCAAAAACAGACTGTTATGATCCTCAAGCACTGTTTGTGGCTACAATATTTTAACAAAGCACAATAGCAGCCTATTTTCTTACAGCTGCTGAGACTTAAAATGTATTTAAAAAAGCAATATATGAATACACAAGAGACAGATAGATCAACCACTTCATGGGGAATATAAAAGGCTCAAGTTCAAAATCAGATTTCCCACTTTAAAGGTTGAGACAAAGGCACTCCATACCATTTAGAAATGATTCCGGATTGAGAGTATCATCTTGTCCTGAGTATTTGTTTGAATATCAAATTTTTTGTTAAAGAGGATTTAAAATTTGCATTTAATTTTATACTAACTTTGTCATGCTATAACTACCTTCAGTTACTCAATGGTAAACATTTCCTTGCAGGACCTAGTCAGAAGCTAGTAAAGCCTACGTTCTTTTATTGACCAGAAATTTCTCTTAGCTGAGGTTCTAGTTTTGCAATGAATTTGACTAGACTGGTTTACCTTGCAATGGGGTTAAGATAGCAGAACGATTAAAAACAAATCTTAATAATTATACATTCTTTCAGGAGCACATTATTCCACATTACTGAATTAGTTAGGCAATGCCTTATTTTCTCATAACGGGGTCACTCAAATTTATTAACATTTTAACTTAAGGCTCATCATACCTTTAATCATAATTTCTTCTTACCTTTAGTGAGGTTGTTACTTGCTTGCCGAGCTGGCTGGTTATAGTTCAGACGTTTCATCATCATGCTGGGTAACATCATCAGTGCAACGTCCGATGAAGCGATGTTGTTCTCCTCCACTTAGTATTTATGTGATCCGGTCTGTTGAGGTGTTTTGTGTCATTTCCGGTTCTTTTTCGTAAGAGTTTGTATATGGAGTCTAATTCCACATGTTTATTGACTGCATTATGGGTGGAGAACTAGGCCTCTAGGAGTTCCCGTGCTTGTCTATGGTTGGCTTGAGCTAGGATGGTCACATTGTCCCAGTTAAATCGATGGCCTTCGTTGTCCGAGTGTACTAAAATGAGGGAAAGTTCGTTGTGTCGTTTTGCTGCTGACTGGTGCTCATGTATCCTGATGGCTAGTTTCCTTCCTGTCTGGCTGAAGGCCATCAATTTAACTGGGATAACGTAACATCCTAGCTCAAGCTACCCATAGATACGTGCAGGAATTCCTAGAGGCCTGGTTCTCCACCCATAATGCAATCAGTAAACATGTGGAATTAGACCCCATACACAAACTCTTGCAAAAAAGAACTGGAAATAAAACACCTCAACAGACTGGATCATATAAATACTAAGCAGAGGAGAACAACATCGCTTCATCGGAGGCCGCAATGATGACGTTACCTAGCATGGTGATGAAATGTCTGAACTATAACCAGCCAGCTCGGCGAGCAAGTCAACAACCTCACCCACAAATCTTCGCAAGAACCTTAAATTACCTTTAGTTATTTTCTGATTCATTAATGAGAAGGAATTGGCACATAGAGTTAAGACTGCAGAGCCAATGTCAGGGAATCTCTTCAAATGACTTCTCTTCCACTCCAACGGAAGAGAATCCCACAATAATCTAATTATCCAATTCACCACTTACATGGAGTCATTGTTATGTGAGCAATGTTAATTCAAGAGTATCAGGCACAGCTTGGAAATAAGTCACTGCTCTCTTTCATTTGAGAGGGAGGAAATTGGTACAAGACAGCCTTTTAAGGAAGGAGAAATAGAAGTTGTGGCAAATAAAGGACTCCATCTCAGAATTTATCTTTTATTTTCCAAAACCAAATCGAAAATGTTTGACATAATAAAATATAATCCAGACTGTAGTTTTGGAATTATATGGTATGAATTTTGTATACATCAACATTAGCAACATTGCTATGGAATATAATAACTTCTGTTTTACTCTCCTTTTAGCATAAAACACTCTTACACACAAAGGTACAAAGCCAAGCTTTTTATGTCTTTCCCAAAAATAATTTACAGATGTAGTATTACAGATATAACAACGAACTATAGATAAATTAGTGCCATGGATTAATATTCATAGCAAACTGGAATAAGACTCCATCTCACACACACAGCTACTAGATAAAGTATCTTTTTAATCCCAGGAGACTAAACTAATTTGAACAGAGATCCTAAGACAAAATTGTAGCATGTATTCCCTGCTGTTATTAGTTGCAGTAATTCAGAGAAACAAATACAGAACTGTGGCATTTAATCATTTAAAAACAAAATCCTCCTTATTAAATTAAAAAAATTAAAATCAATACATACAGCAGTGTCATCTTCTTTGTAGACTTTAATCGTTTTATCAGCTTCTGCTGTCAGTAATCTGCTTTCTGACTGGTCAAAGGTGCATGCAAAAATTCCAGATTCACTATCTAAGGAGCCTGGCTGCACAGCAGCATGTATTCGTTGGAAGTTGTAACCAGTTCTCCAATCCCACAGGTGCATGGTACCATTATCAGCTGTTAATATAAATTTCACATAAAAATTGACCAGACATAAAACAGCTAAATGCAAAAAAATCTGAAAGTTTCTGACATTACATCTTTTGCTTGAAGTGTGGTATGTTTTACCTAAGTGCTTTTTATAATACATTTGGAAGGACAATATTCTCCTGACAAATCAAATGCCATCCCTTTAAATTGCTTGTACAGACTACAGATTAACTGAGCATTGTTTCAATGAAACTTAAGCAATTCGCAACACAGTACAATGGGACAGATCTACTTGTGTTAATTGTGGTTAAAACTAATGAAGTTCAGTAACTTCTCTACAGTTCATCTAACTATACATTTCACAAGGTACTGCACTTAATTAAGCTGTAATTTTGAGTATAACTGAAATTTTAATTGCTTTTACATAGCTAACAAGGTAGATTACAGAAGGAAAAATACACAGCCAAATAACTTCTCACCTGTACCTAAAATAATATTAAAAATTACCCAGATACTAAATACTTATCTTGCTCAGCTCAGTTTATCTCTATATTTTTTCCCGATTGTTTACCTCCTGATACGAGCACACCATCCGAGTTGACAGCAAGTGTATTGATGATAGCATTATGACCAGGTAGGTTCTGAATAAAAATACCATCGGGACATTTCCACTGCTTTATGTTATCTGGAGAACCAGAAGCAAAAGTATATCTATAATATAAAGGAATAATTTGATATTAGGCATAGCACAAATAATCAAAATTATAAGAATAAAGACAAAGAATGTCAATGTATGGACATCTTCCAATTATGTTTAAAAAAACATTTATGTTTTAAAGAGGGCTTCTAACATTACATTGAAGGAACACATTATCTTTAGACATACTGTCTTGGATGTAGAATGAGAGAACGAACAGACTTCTTGTGATTGGTTAATGTGACTCTAGTTTTCCCTGCTACCAAATCCCAGAGTCGTATGGTTGTGTCATGGCTTCCTAAAAGAAATAAAACAAACTTGTTGTAGCATTCATTTTCAAGTTACAAAAATACCAGTGTATACCAGTTGTCCCAAATTCGACTGGGACAACACGTCCATAATCGCACAAGCCAGAAAGAGACACGCCAGGGAATTCCTGGAGGCCTGGTATTCCAAACGGAATTCCATCAACAAACACACTGAATTAGACCCTGTGTACAAACCACTGAGAAACAGGAAGTAATATCAACCACCTCAGCAAACCGTGGCATATAAATAACAAGCAGGACAGAACACTGACACTTCACCAGACACTTCACTGATGATGTTACCTAGCAGGGTGACAAAACCCACCGACTTGGCAAGCATGTCTACAACCTCAGAAAATCCTTTTATCCCTCTCAGGTTTTCTCCATCTACTTGGATCCCTCACACACTCAATGTTTTCATTGAGAACTGTCAGTGTGACTTTGGCCATCTCATTCATACCACTCTGTCTCCCTGTGAACCTGCTGAACTCTGTTCTCTCAGGTTCAACCTTGATGCTGTCAACAAGCCTGCCAGTAGTGTTGTCTGGCAAACTAACTTCCTCTTTACAAAAGCCGAACACTAATTCTCCCATACTTCCCCCTGCCTTACACTGAACCAAAACTCCACCAATAAACAACAAACTATCATTGCCAGGTCTGTCACTGGCCTCAATTCTTCTAACGATCCTCTCTTCATGGCCCTCAGCTTCAGTCACCCAACAGTGGGCTTCTACTTCTTTCCCAAAATCAATTACAGGATTGCCTTTTTGTGATGGTTCACTCCTGCCTCACTATTCGATTTCTTACTTTGATGACTTTCTTGATGTCCTTGTGGCTGTGACAGTTTTAAATTTCCTGGTCCTGCCAGTTGCCTTTTTAGAATGGATGTTCAAGCCGTCGATAATTTCATGCCCCACTTGGATGGCCTCGGGATTTTCTATTTCTGCTTGAATGGAAGAGGTCCAAATAGTGTACATCCACCAAACCCTCCACTACCTAGTTGAACTTGTACTCTCATTGAACAACTTCCTCAACTCCACTCACTTCCCCCAAATAAAAGGTGTTGCTATAGGTATCTGCAAGGGCCCTAGCTCTGCCTACCTTTTTGTGGAAAATGTGGAAATTCCTTTCTCCAGTTCTTCTCAGGCCTCCATCCTCAACTCATTTTTATATATTGATTGCTTTGGCGTCATTTCCTGCTCTCACTCTGAAGAGGAAAATTGCAGCAACTTTCCTTCCGATCTATAGCCTCCTGTCATTTTCATGTGATCTACCTTAAACTCTTCCGTTCCTTGACTTCTTGTCTCCATTTCTGGTGTACACTAATGAATGACTAATCACTCTTAGTCCACTCATTTCCCCCAACTATTTCAATTACTTTATGGGAGGTGACAGCCTCGTGGTATTATCGCTGGACTGTTAATCCAGAAACCGAGGCAATGTTCTGGGGACCCAGATTTGAATCCTGTGTCTAATTATGACCATGAATCCACTGTCAACTGTTGGAAAAACCCATCTGGTTCACTAGTATCCTTAAGGGAAGGAAACTGCCATCCTTATCTGGTCTGTTCTACATGTGGCTCCAGACCCACAGTAATGTGGGTGACCCTCTGGGCAATTAGGGAAGGGCAATAAATTCAGACTTAGACAGCACCATCCTCATCCCGTAAATGAAAAAAAAAATCCTGGCTTCCTTTAAGTATACATTTGCTCCTCAGCTTCTCTATCTCCATTGTTATAATGTTGCAAACTTTCATATCAGTGTTCCCTTCTTGCTCAACTGAGGGCTCCCTCACAGGGGATGGCACAGTGGCTAGCACTGGTGCTTCACAGCACCAGGGACCCGGGTTCAATTCTAGCCTTGGGTGACTGTCTATGTGGAGTTTGCATCTTCTCCCAGAGTCTGCATGAGTTTCCTCCAGGTGCTCCTGTTTTCCCCCACAGTCTAAAGGCGTGCACTGCCCCTTACTGTCCAGGGATGCATGGGTTAGGGGGGACGTCAATCATGGTAAAACCCCCATGTAGGTTTACAGGGATGGGGTGGAGGATTGGGTCTGGGTGGGATGCTGTTTGGAGGGTCAGTGTAGACGCAATGGGCCAAATGGCCGCTCTCTGTACTGCAGGAATTCTATGAACCACCTACAAGGCTTTCACCACCCAGTTAGACGTCTTATCCCTCTTAGACCAACAACAGAGTCCGCTTTATCTTCCACCACCAGCCTCCAAATTCAGTGAATTATCCTTCACTATTTCCGTCACTTCCACCATGATGCCACCACTGAACACATCTTTCCCTGTTCTCCCCTTCCAGCATTCTTAAGGGACCTACCCGTCACACCTTGATCCACTGCTTACTCAGCTCCAATCACCAATTAATACTAGAGTTGCAACACTTTCCATTTCATCTCCTCACTCCTCATTATCATCCAAGACTCCAAACAGTACTGCCAAGTGAAAGAGTGATTTATATGTATTTTTGTTAGTGTAATGTATTTCAGATAGCAACTCTTCATTATTTTATCATTCACACCCCCTCTAAACATGTATTTTGTTTGTTTACTTGTCCCACTTCTACTTCCTGTTTTCCCTTTAGGAAGGTTTTCAATTACCAGTAAATCATCTCAAAAACTACAATATAGAAGGGAGGTGAAAATACCCTGAATCATTCAAACACGCATAATCTTTTAAGTCTCTATATTTAACCAGCTAATGTTTAAAATAAATATACAATTATTTACCTGTAATAATCTGTGGTTCACCAGCTTGGCATTTTACAGTCGCTACTGTATTTGTATGCCCTATTAAAGTGTGTACATTTGCTTTCGTTCGTATGTCCCAAACCTATGTCAAAATCAAAGGAAACTTTTTCAACAGTTCCTTTACATGCAATATTAAACCAAGCTTAAGTATCTAGGTTTTATGCATCACTTTATCAAAACCCAAAAGATGATGTGTATGATTAGGTTAAGAACTGGTTTGTGATCTAAGTATTACACCCATAGAGTTGATAACTTTAGGAAATAGTTTACCCTTGCAGTTGAATCTCTGCCACATGTTATCAAGACATCAATGGTTGGGTGCAAATCAAGTCCATACACTGCACTTAAATGACCGTGGTAATGTCGGATAACCTAAATAAACAGGAAGCACAGAAATAAACAGAGATGTACTGTTGCTCATATATTTATGTATTGTGCACATTCACTGCCAACATTGCAAAGCTGAGCTAAAGCACTTCAGAACATTAAAAGGTGAAGTCACCATAGAAAATAAAAACCGAATGAACTACTGATACCGTAAATCAGAGACAAAAACAGAAATTGCTGGAAAAGCTCAACAGGTCTGGCAGCATCTATGCAGAGAAATCAGAGTTAATGTTTCAGGATGACTGACCCTTCTCAGAATTCAGTTCTCAGCTCTGAGGAAAGGTCACATGACCTGAAACATTAATTCTGATTTCTCTCCACAAATGCTGCCAGACCTGTCGAGCTTTTCTAGTGAAGTCACCATTGCCCAGCTTTTTTATAAGCACGCGCGATGGCTGGTGGTGGTTTAACCTGAGGTCGACACACTCTTGGACAAGGGTCAAGGTGGAGAAGGTAGGACCTTCATGGTGACCTCAGCTGCTGTAAGCATTGAACCCACACTCTTGATGTCATTATGCATTGAAAACCTCACATCCAGACAATTGGGCTAACCAACCCCAATTGTATAAGACTGAATTCATTTCAGTAATGCCATGCTGCAAGAATTTATACCTTATTGTATTCCAGATCCCAGCATTTCACTTGCTTATCCTCACCACAGGAGAAAAGGTATGGGCTTCGTGAACTGACCGCCACTCCTCGTACAGTGCTGATGTGCCCAGTCAGAGAGAGCTTTAACTTACCACTAGCCAGATCCCAGATCTATGCAACAAAATATTTAAAAAACTGTTTCTCACTCCAAAACAAAACAGCTTTAAAGTGATGCAACAATGGCATACAGTTAATCAACATGGGCTCTCACATTAGAAATACGTAGCACATTTTAAACGCAATCATTTCAAGTTTCTTAAACAGTAGCTCAGTTGTTTTACAATTACCAATTAATTTTCTATATAATAATCATAACTAAAATCTTAAAGTACAACTATGGAAACGCAGTCAACTGTATAAACTGATGCAAAAACAGTATTTAGTTTCCCCTACAAAATGCAAAGAACATACAAGCTAGTCAGTTGGAGAGGACAGCGAAGTTGATATTTCAGAGAAAGACCCTCCAGATCTAGGTTTGAACCAAAAATATCAAACCCGGTAGATACTGACTGCCCTGTAATATTTCCAGCATCTTCAATTTTTGTTGCAAATTTCCAAGATCTATCGTATTTAGTTTTCACTTCAATCTTATGGAGTTGTTTATTTTTACTCAGTAAGCTACATTCTTTAAAAAATGCATTTAAAACCAACCAATTATAAGAATAGTATTTACTATTATGTAGGACCACTTTCAAGCGAAGTCATTTTCTGAACTTTCAGATGTAACACTCTGGTATTGAATTATCTCCATCTATAGTTTTATTTCCTGTACTTGAACAATTCTGGTTTCCCTCCTTCCAATACTCTCTCCACAGTCTCCATTCAAATGTTTATTAAACAGAACAGTGACAATTACTGATTACAGCAAATGCATTTGCTAATGCTGTTAAATAGGCACCATATAATCATTTTCTGTGTAATAGGAGAATTAACTTGAAGCAAAATGTCTGTAAATGTCCTGTAAAGGGTTCAATGGTACTAGACAGGGAATTGCCCAAATATAAGCCAAAAATAAAGTACCACCCTAACAATCCCAAAAAATTATTTTTAAAAATCACATTTCCAACATCCAATCTTACCTTAATAGTTCTATCAGCTGATCCAGTAACAAACCACTGATTTCCAGGTTCAACTGCAAGACATCTAACCCAGCCCAAATGGCCACTGATTACCTATAGATAAATGCATGAATCAATATTAGCAACATTTGACCATACCTTTTCGACCATGTAACTGTATAAAGAATGAGCAAAAGATAAAATTACAAAACCTTTGCTAATCCTTTCATACAACCGAAAACAAAACTCTGCAAGTTTTAACTGAATGTTACTGATTTTATGAGCCACTTATAACTTTTTCAAAAATAATTTCCAGTTGAAATAATGTTAATCATGTCCAATTTCCAAGAAATGAGAAATATTTCGTGTTTTGGTGTGGCAGGGTATCTAAAAGTGGTGAATTTAAAGGGCTACAGAGATAGGGCTGGAGAATGGAACCAGTTGGATCGTTCTTTTGGAAGCTGGTACAGATATGATGGGTTGAATGGCCTCCTTCTGTACTGTAAAATTCTATGATGCTAAATGGCATTTATCATCAGACTGATTTGTGAATGGTGAAGCTTCATTTTTTTTATATTGCAAGTTTCTGGAAGTGCTGATAACAGCATGGCAAGGGATTCAAGGTACTTGAAACCTGAATGAACAGGGTAAGCAACTCCACAGATCCTTAACCAATCAGGCTGTTGCAAATAAAGAAAGGAAACGTAAATGAACATCACTGTATATATAGAGGAAGAAAGGGAGTAGGAAAAATTAGATTAAGTGACAGAAAGGCAAAATCAAAAAGCATATTTAGTTTTTTTTAAATTCATTCACAGGATGTATGTGTAACTAGTTAGACCAGCACTTATTGCCTATCGCTAATTGCCCAGAGGGTAGTTAAGAGTCAACCACATTACTATGGGTCTGGAGTTATGTGTAGATAAGGATGATCGTTTCCTTCCCTAAAGAATGTTAGTGAACCAGATGGGTATTTCCAACAATCATCAATGGATTCATGGGGTTGAATTAGACTCTTCAGACTCTTAATTCCAGATTCTTTATTGAATTTAAATTCCACCATCTGCTGCAGGATTTGAACCCAAGTCTCCAGAACATTAGCTGGGTCTCTGGATTAACAACCCAGCAATAATACCACTGGGCCATCGCCTCAACAGTTAAATTTTACATTTAAACTCCCCAGTTAATTTTACATTTTAAATTCTCTAACAATGAGTAATTCATGAATGAGTTTCTACACATTAGTGCAGTGCCAGAGGGTGACTGGCAGTGATGAACAATTATCACATTATTAAATGGCACTTTTATTTCCCACAGCAAAACAAATTTGACTGAGTTTAATTCAAAAGCATTATGTTTCTATAATGCCAACTTTGAGGAATACAACAAAATTCTATTTTGCATGTATAACGGCAGAACAATGCAACACGACAAAAAAGTTTGGATATTGGCATTTAAACTCTCAGCAGTTTTCACCTAAAGCTATTTTACACACAATTAACGAGGAGTAACATTGTCTTCCCAATCACACCCATTATTTCCAAATGTCAAAAGGACAGAGTTCAGGCACATGATATTGCTAATCATAATCCATATAGTAAGACATTAGAAAGGAATCTTGTTGGTTTAGAGCACATCGAAGATGGTGAATACGATGTTTCAATTCATAACATTCTGGCATAGTGTTGCACCATTGCACACAAACTATGAAAGATGACAGCACAGGAAATGACTTTAGTTTATTGTAACTATGCTGACTTTGCTTTAGTGCAATTCAAAATAAAGTTGAATACCCAATTCTTTGCCACAGGGAGGAGTGGTGAAGGTTCGTGATATATGATTATTATTTGGAAAGACGGGTTCTGAAAGTGGGATCATGACAGCTCAAGTATTTGCAATCAGTGCCCAGTGATTTGCCCATCCTGAGTCCAAGTGAAGTTTTTTTGTACAAGTCATGTTTGACTTGAAAGTATTCTTATATGTAAGCAGGCAAAAAGAAAATGTTTAAACTAACACTTTATTGCCACAGAATGAAACATTTCACCTGTGATGAACATCGACAAATAGGTTATTTATGCAAAAAGTTCACACAATAATTTGCTTACTCTGTACAGCTTCCAAGGTGGGTGCCATTGTGGTTTTGGCATTGTAGGAAGTTTTCTTGAAATTAGTGAAGAATTCTTTGAACCTCCAACTTCCATTACAGCCTGTAACATATTCAAACACAAGTTTAAAATTCTAGATGTATGTATTTTCAGTCTTAAAATTTATTGACAGAATTCTGTCCCTTCACCAGAAACAATGTGTGTTAGCATTTACAATTTCTTAAGAATCTTACCATGGAAGATACTGGAGGCTGTGACCGTTCAGCAATGCCCGCATGTCTGTGAATATCAGCAACACTGGCTGCAGTACGATTTGCATCTTGTCTGAAAGTGAAATAAAACATAGACCATAAGACCATAAGACTTAGGAGCAGAAATTAGGCCTTTCAGCCGATTGAGTCAGCTCCACCATTCAATCGTGGCTGATAAATTTCTTAACCCCATTCTCCCGCTTTCTCCCCGTAACCCTTGACAATCAAGAACCTATCCATCTCCGTCTTAAATATACTCAATGACCTGGCCTCCACAGCCTTTTATGGCAGAGAATTGCATAGATTCACCACTTTATGGCTAAAGAGGTTTCTCCTTATCTCTATTCTAAAAGGTCTTCCCTTTACTCTAAGGCTGTGCCCTCGGGTCCTAGTCTCTCCTACCAACGGAAACATCTTCCCAACATCCACTCTGTTGAGGCCATTCAGTATTCTGTAAATTTCAATTAGATCCCCTCACATCCTTCTAAACTTCATCGAGTATAAGAGTCCTCAAATGTTCCTCATATATTAAGCTTCTCATTCCTGGGACCATCCTTGTGAACCTCCTCTGACCCGCTCCAGAGCCAGTACATCTTTCCTGAGATATGGGGCCCAAAACTGCGCACAATACTCCAAATGTGGCCTGATCAGAGCCTTATAGAGCCTTAGAACTGCACCCCTGCTTTTATATTCAAGTTCTCTCAAAATAAATGGCAAAGTTGCGTTTGCCTTCCTAACTACTGACTCAACCTGCAAGTTTACCTTGGGAGTATCCTGGACTAGAACTCCCAAGTCTCTTTGCACTTCAGACTTCTGAATTTTCTCCACATTTAGAAAATAGTCCATACCGCTTTTCTTCTTACCAAAGTGCATGACCTCATACTTTCCCACATTGTTCTCCAAATGCCTTTATTGCCCACTCTCCTAACCTGTCCAAATCCTTCTAGAGCCTCCCTGCAGCCTCAATACTACCTGTCCTTCTACCTATCTTTGTATCATCTGCAAGTTTAGCCAGAAAGCTCTCAGTTCCTTCATCTAGATCATTAATGCATAAAGTGAAAAGTTGCGGTCCCAACGCTAACCCTTGTGGAACACCACTAGTCACTGGCTGCCATCCTGAGAAAGGCCCTTTTAACCCCACTCTCTGCTTTCTGCCAGACAGCCAATCTTCTATCCATGCCAGCACCTTGCCTCTAACAGCATGGGCCCTTATCTTACTCAGCAGCCTCCTGTGCGGCACTTTGTCAAAGGCCTTCTTGAAGTCCAGGTAGATAACATCTATTGGCTCTCCTTGGTCTAACCTACTCATTATTTTCTCAAAGAATTATAACAGATTTGACAGGCAAGACCTCCCCTTGATGAAGCCGTGCTGACTTTGCCCTATTTTAACATACACTTCCAAGTATTCAGAAATCTTATCCTTCACAATGGACTCTAAAATCTTACCCATGATCAAGGTTAGGCTAATCGGCCTGTAATTTTCAGTCTTTTGCCTTACTCCCTTCTTAGACAGGGGTGTCACGTTAGTGATTTTCCAGTCCTCTGGGACTCTCCCATTCTCTAGCAATTCCTAAAAGATCACCACTAATGCCTCCTCTATCTCTTCAGCTATCTCCTTAACAACTTTGGGGTGTAGTCCATCTGGTCCTAGTGATTTATCCACCTTCAAGCCATTCAGTTTTTCTAGCACTTTCTCCGTGATGATGGCCACCATACTCAGCTCTGCCCACTGACTCTCTCGAATTTTTGGGATATTACTCGTGTCTTCCACTGTGAAGACTGACACAAAGTAATTATTCAGTTCCTCAGCCATTTCCTTGTTCCCCACTACTATCTGTCCAGCGTCATTTTCCAATGGTCCAATGTCCACTTTTGCCTCTCTTTTGTCCTTTATATATCGAAAGAAACTCCTACAGTCCTACTTCATTCAATAACTAAAATATTAAGAATATGAATCCACACCAGTATCCAATTTAAAACAGGAAATTAGAAAAACTACACATTATTACCGATTCACTTAATGAATTATGCTTAACAGCAAATACTAAAATATATTATTCATTAGCCAAGGTGTTCCCAAGCTTAAAACGCTTGGGCCAGTTTCCTTACAATGCCATATTGAATAAAAATGCTTCAAATCAGCGGCAAGTAAATGAATCAAAATAGCGAACTAAAAATTCTTACTACATTGCATAGAAATTACTTATTTCCATACTAAACTCAATTTATGGCTATCGAGGTTTCAAATCATCAGATTCAGGATTTAATTTGAAGTTAAACAACATTTGAGTTACATTTGCACTTGCTTTCACAACATTATGCAAAATCTTCAGTGATTTCATAGATAGCTGTTTTCTCATCCAATTGCTCATTATCAGGAAACAGGGGTTAAGAGCTGGGCCATTCACTTTTATGTCAAGATTATAAACTCAAATTAGCTTATTACCTAATAACTGTTCATTTGGGCCCTCTTGTGGCACAGCAGTGTCTACTCCTAGACTGGGAGGCCAGGGTTCAAGTCCCACCTGTTCCAGAGGTTTGTAATAACATCTCTGAACAGGGTGATTAGAAAAATAAGTTAAATTAAAAAACTGGTCATTAACCAATTAAAATTTATGCTTGGTGCTGATTCCCTATTCTTTATAGAATATAATGGAAGAAAGATCACAAAATGATGGAGCATCAACATCAGAATTTAAAGAGGTACATACTGCATCAGCTTAGGGGTTACTTTGAAGTTGGTAGGCTCAATATTGCTGTTAAAATAACAAGATCAAGTGAAGAAAAACCGAAAGGACCCTTCCTCAGTCCGAAGTGTTAACTCTGATTTTTTTTTCACAGATGCTGCCAGACCTGCTGAGCTTTTCCAGCAACTTTGTTTTTATTTAAGATCAAATGAATGTCATTTTTTTATTACAAAAATATACTTTATTCAAAAAAGTACAGTACATATAAAGCATTCTCAAGTCTGTTCTGTACAATCTTTACAGAGAAAAATAAAGAGACAAATTACATATCGGAATTTGACCACAGAGCTGTTGTACTGTTGCAAAAAACAAAGGCATTTTTAACTGACCTACAATACTCCTCACATAGCTGTTCACACCACATTCTGAGATCCACACTCAGTGCCATGCATTGCCATATGCACACTCTTGGTCTCTCTCTCTCTCTCAATCAGCACCGACTGAAAGCTGCCCTGTGGCCCCCAATTCCACTTCATCCTCTGACTCATTCAACGTGCTAACAAAAAACTTTTTCTCTTCCTTTCAGGGATTAAGGAATGCAAGATGTAACAATTTAGAGACACCCATGCCTCCCCAGAACCTTCCCTTCCCCTTCCCTCTGCCTCCCTTTGGCCTTTTACCTGCATCCGTCTTGTTCACTGAGAATTGTCGACATTAATATCAATTTCTCTGCCCCGCACTTACCCATTCGAACCTAGCTCCCTCAAAACTGACTGTACTCCGTGCTCTCAGATTCAACCCTGACTTTATGATGAAGCCTGCCAACAAGGGTGGTGCTATTGTCTACAGTACTGACCTCTACATTGCAGAGGCATAGTGCCAACTCTTGGACACACCTCCCATCTTCCTGAACCATGACCCCACCATTGTCCACATGGTCACTAATCTCATTTCATCCGGTGGTCTTCCCATCACTGCCTCCAAGCTCATAGACCCCAACACAGCCCACTTCTACCTCCTTCCCAAAATCTACAAACAGGACTGCTCAGGCAGAAACATTGTTTCTGCCTGCTCCTGCCTCTCGGAACTCATCTCTTCCTACTTCGACTTGATTTTATTTTCTCTTGTCCAGTCCCTTCCCACTTACATCTGCAATTCCTCTAATGTTTTACATCAGTTTCAGAACTTCCAGTTCGCGGGCTCCAGCCATCCCCTCTTCACATGGAAATGCAAAACTTTTACATGTCTATCCCCCATCAGTATTGTCTCAGGGCTCTCTGCTTTGTCCTGGGAAAAAGGACCAAACCATCCCCATTCACCACCCTCCTCTGCCTGGCCAAGCTCGCCTTCCGCTTTGAACAACTTCTCCTTTAACAATTTCTCACTTTCTTCAGGTCAAGGGGTAGCCATGGGTACCTGCAATGGGCCCCAGTTATGCTCGCCTCTTTTGGAGTACACAGTCCCACAACACAAAACCTTTCATCCAGTACGTCAATTACATCATCAGTGCTGCTTACCTCTCTTGTCCAGAACTGGAAAAGTTTATCTATTTCACTTCCAATTTCCACCCTGCTCTCACCTTCACCTTGTCCATCTCTGACTCCTCCCTTAGCTTCCTCAACATCTCTGATTCATTTCTGGGCACAGGCTGGCCACCAATATCCACTACAAACAAACCGACTCCCACTTACCTTGACTATACACCCTCACACTCTGCTTCCTGTAAAGACTCTATTCCGTTCTTCCAATCTCTCCGTCTCCATCGCATCTGTTCTGGTAATGTCAGCTTCGACAAGCAGACCTCCAAAATGTCCATCTTCTTCCTCAAGTGAGGAATCCCCACCTGTGGTTGACAGAGCTCACATTCCACTTGGAGATATGTGACAATCTCTTCCCCCCTGCAATCTCTTCTACGGCAGCAGAGACAGTCCAAGCATGCATGAAGGATCTAACAGGTAGTGCCCGCTGACCACCAGCCAAGGTAAGTATGGGTGCTTGTTGGAAATTTCGGGAGATGAGGCTTTCTGCCAAATGACTTTGATGGTCTTCTCAGGTGGAGGTTAAGTTAGTCGATGCCCCTCTGTGGTGTCCTCCTTCCCTTTCTCACAGGCCTTGCCCTCCTTCTGGTTGACTCTCATCTGTGACCTTGCTAGAGGGGGGCACCTTACTGTCCTTTGGGATTCACTTGTCTGCATTGTCATTTATGGCTATTTGCAGTCCATTGCATGTGCTCTGACCTCCTGCAGGTTCCGCACAGTCTAGGCTGACCCAAATATGTCAGGTAGCCTGGAGGGCAGGTGGAGGATTGTGTCCACATTGAGGGTCACTTTAACCTACTGCTTGCTGCTCCAAAGGAGGCACCATCAATGTGGTGGACCCCTTCGAACTCTACGTACCTTCCCAGGAAGGTGTGGACATCTGCTGCCAGGACATGGGGGTCATATATGTGGATAAGAACAACCTGGCTCCTCTGCACAGGCAGGATAAACACTGGTGCTGCAGACAGGACAGGCAGTGGGCTCTCACCTCCTTTATCTTCAAAAACCTTCAGAAGTTTACATTGCTTCAAGCTCCGGAAGGTTGCATCAAAATATCCCGCTCCTGGAGAAATCCTGCAGCCAAAAAATATCTGCCACTTGGAACCCACAGTAATCCAAGAAGACCCTCTTCATACAGAAGATCCGATCAACCAGGGTACCTTTCCGAAATATCATTATGTACAAACAGTAGTCCAACTGTAGGTCTGGTGCAGAAACATAGTTAAATGAAGTTGTTGTCCAGTTTGCACCACTCGACTTTGCTATCAGTCTGATATGCACCGGATTGTGTAGAGTTGCTGTTATTTTACACTAAATATGAATTAACCTCGCCACAACAATAAAGTCAACATTTTAAAGTAGCCTTTAAACATATGATTATTGTTAATTACCTGTAATCAACATCTGCTGCAAAATAATGAAGTATCATGAGTATCAAAACTTGTTAGGCATAGTTGTTGAGGTTTTTAGAAATGTATTTTTGTAGCACTGTACTTTTTCACAGAAACGTAGAAACCTGGAGTAGGCCATCCGGATCTTCGAGCCTGCTTTGCCCTTCAAACTTATCTTAGATAATCCTCCATCTCAATGTCATATGCCTCTTTCCCTTAACCCTTGATGCCTTTAATATCTAAAAACTTACCAATCTATTTGTTGAATATAGTCAATGACCTGTGTCCTAGAGTCTTCTGTGTTAGTGACTTCCACAGGTAGACGGCTCTCCAAGTGAAGAAATCTTGCTTCATCTCAGTCCTAATAGGCCTACTCTGTATCCTGAGACTGTAACCCCCGAACCAAGAGAAACTTCCTCGCTGCATCCAGCCTAACTGGCCCTGCTATAATTTTATATGTTTCAATCAGATTCCCTCTCGTTCCTCTAAACCCTAATGAACCAGGCCCAGTGCTGAACCAATCCCTCCTCTCACAACAGACTTGCCATCCCTGAGCCTTTGCCTCACTCCCTCATGCGCAAGTATATCCCTTCTTGGATAAGCAGACCAAATGGCACACAATATTCCAGGTGAGTCTTACCAAGGCTCTGTATAACTGCAATTAGACATTTCTACTTCTGAACTCAAATCCTCTTGCAATTAAGGCCAATATACCATTCGCCTTTCTAATTGCTTGCTGCACCTGCCAGTATACTTTCTTTGACTGGTATACAAGGATGCCCAGATCCCTTCACTCATCCACATTTCCGAATATATCACTGCTTAAAGAATACTGCCAATGTTTTTTGCTCTAAACGAGCACAAATTCATATTTGTCCAAGTTATATTGAACCTACCATGTATTATACCACTCAATCAACTTGTCTAGGCTACCCTGAAGCCTCAGAACTCTCAATCCCACCTGGTTTTGTGTTGTCAGCAAACTTGGTACACTCATTCAAGTCATTAAATATGTCATGAATAGCTGGGACCCAAGCACTGATCCCAGTGGTTTACCACTAGTCTGCCTGTCACCTGGAAAAGGACCCATTTATTCCCATATTACGTTTCCGATCTGTCAAGCAATTCGTGATCCATGCCAGTAGATTATCCACAATCTCGTGTTTTAATTTTGACCAATCCTTTTCTGTGCGACCTTATCAAAAGCCTATCTTAGTGAGCAATTCTATAACTTCATGGTCACTCTTCTGTAATGGACACCACACAAGGTTGCTAATTGGTCTTTTTTCATTAAACAATATCCAGTTGTACTGACATTGCTAGCATTTCTAATCTTCTGTTTAATGCGTTCCTTTCTTGTGTCTCTTTCTCTGATATTTCACAATTTGTACCTGATTTTACATTGAATTTACTCAAATTTGAACTTGCTTCTCAGTTGTTCCCTTACTTATTTTAAAATCCTTCTAACCAACTGACTAAGAATAGGTATAGTAAATTGCCTTGTTCCTTCAAGCCATTGATGCCCATTTATACCTCTGTAATATTGTTCAACATTGCCCTTGCTGACTTCATCTGGTGCTGAAACTTTCAACTGCGTCCTTGTTACCTCTAGATTCAAATATTCCTACATTCTCTTCGCTTGCCTTCATCTTTCACCTTCTATCAGCTTAGCTCAATGTCTCGTGGACAATCTTTCATAAACTTCATTAAAATTCTTGATTATGTGAATCAATCCTCCAGTAATACAATCATGGACTTACTATGGAAGCTATATTTTTATATAGGTTTAAACAACATTTTGCAATATTTTGCTATTCCTCAATATTCATTTGATGTTACAAAAATAACAAAGATTAAAAATTCTTTTCCTAAGCTGATAATGAAGTCAGTGCAGCACAGGAGGAGGGCATTCAATCCAAGGAATTGTCATTCAAATTGAGAGACTGATGTATCGGAGATCATCACAATAGAAACAACAAAAGTTATTCATTTCAAATGTCTGTTTGGCAAGATTTGAGAAGTTGACCAACAGTGAATAAGTATTCACCATAACTTTACCAAACTTCTATATATATCCAGTTGTCAAAACCACTTGTAACTTCATGTTCCTCACAAATACCAAATTATGAACAGCTGTGTAATAATCAACTAAATTCCTTCCTTGTTGTCAAGGAAATATAAACATAATGATGATTTTCCAAGAATTTTTAAAAGCATAAAGCTTACCTGGCTTGTGAAGGAGGAAGCGCCAAAGCCAAGGCTTGAGCACTTGCCTCACTGGGCATTTTCTGCACTTGTGTATCAGCTGTCAGAGCAACTCCTACAATTCAGATAAATTGAACAAATGCTGTATAATAAAGGATGGCAACTATAGACTTAATTTCCAAATTATGTGGTTGTGCAAATAAATTTCTTGATTTCAGAACGCAAGATACTAGAGTTGTGTGTTACTTCAAAAACGCCACATTGTTTCTGGCTAATATGCCCTCATTTCTAACAAATTTTTGTTTGTAAAAGGTACACTTAAAGTCTCAAATTTGGTTTGTTGGATATCTATCATAATGTTACTTGAATATAACCAAGGTTACCATTTATAAAGTTCAAATAAATCCTTACTAGAAGATTAAGCATTGCATTCCCATGTGTTTTCTGTAGCTGCTTTATTTTGTCCCATTGATCAACTCAGTAAGTGAATTTGGTGGTCTGACAGTCAAATCATTGCTAAAACTCACTGCAGATTATAGACTTCAAAAAATACCTTTTTCCAGAAATGCTACTGACCTGGACCTGATGGGTACGGATGTGTGCCAGTTATAATGTATTCAGATTCCTCACCTAAAACATAATAAACATAAGGCAAACATTTGGACTTTCAAACAATATTCTTTCAGAACATTTTAAAGCAATATTGCAATCATCCAAATAAATCTTTAAAACGATGGCACTCACAAAGGCCAGCACTGATGATGCAAGATTATACACGTTTCAGGTACATGCTTCAAATCATAATTACGGACACCTACCATCTTAACACATCAATTAATCCATTTTTCTTTTATATCCTTACGTATTTATTTGTGAATATTGAAACACTCAGGGAATAGTGTGTGTGACTGCTGGTCACTACATTTGGTTCTGCCTCCTAATAGGGTTGGGTCTTACTGTGAACTTTTCAATAGGTTAGTCAGAACAGTTCAAGGATGACTGGAAGGTCAATTTTACAGCACGAGCGTTGAACTCATACTAGAAGGTTATCACCACTCATGGTGGGTTTCTAAAGATGATTTTAGAATCTACATCACAGTCGCAACAAAAGAAAATTCAGTTAGCCACAACTGCTCCAGAAAGACATTCCAGCATCAACAACTTGTCTTTCCAATGTGATTTCGGAACTAGATCAACATTTGTGTCAATTCATGAATATTCTTTTTCTCTGGAGCTTAGCTGCATTTGGCTAAAGTGCATTTAAGATAACACTTTGTAGAATCTTGTATCTTTCTCAGAATTATGGATTGTATGTATGTTAGTTTTGAGAAAAGTAATTTCACATCTTTGCAAAGTCTAATCCTTCTGCTAATAATCTTTGCTGGAGTAAGTTTTGTTTGAAATCCAAAAAGTTATTGCTTGTTAAGCAAAAAAACCTGGCTACTCATCTTCATCAAGAAAACTGTCTTTCTGATCTATGACATTGAATGGAATTTCTTCAAAATTAGTTCACTAAAGAAGTTAAGGATGCCATAAGCTAAGATTTATTTAGGCTAAATTGGTTTACATTAAAGCGGCAGAAAATAATAAATAGAAATGCACATTAGTCTTAATTGTTGTTACACATGATCTATATTGCCGATAGTGTGAAATAATCACTTTGGGATAGAAATTGACAACTAACAGTGAAAGCAGAGAAAATCAATATAACCTCCAAACCTCTGAATTCCAACACAGAAGCATTTGTTTTACTAACTTCTGGAGCTGATCACCAGTTACCAGAACAATCAGCCCTTCATTTTTTAAGCTACAAAAATACTTATTTTAGTTTACAAATGCATTAGATACTTTTAAATGCTTTTTTTTTTTAAAAGTTACAGGCCCCACTTAAAACTCAGTTCCCAAATGAAAAATATTTAAATTCAAGAGTTTTCTTTCAGAATCACAGCCACAAAGATCAATTAAAAAACTGGCAACACGCTCACATACCTACAAGCCCGCCATACTCAAGATAATAAATAAATGTTCATATCTGCAGTAGTGTACACAGGGCATAAATGACAGAATAAAACAAACATAGTTAAATTCACTTCCGTAAAACTGAAAATCTTTCCTCTATTGTGAATTGACTGCATACCATGATTTAGGTCATAAGGTCCATGATTGTAGGAGTCAGACTGCGAACTCTTTTCTCTGATTTCCTTAAGTATGGGCATATGGAGCACAGGACTGTACTCTGTTTGAAGCTTCACATTCATCTTGAGTTTATAACTGATCAAACACAAAAAGAATGCAAGAACAATGAATCAATAGAAAAATAACTCTCTAAAATAGCTATGCAGCATAAAAACATTTTCATATTACAGTTCAAAGTGATTCCAAAATAAACAAAAGCAAGGAATGGTATCACAGGACAGCGGAGAGGTGACTGTTTCCTGTGTATTACTATTTCCCTCTCTTTAAATTACAGTTGTGGAGCTGGGATATTTAGTTAGAGTAGGGTAGGACAGGGTAACTTAATCACATCAAATAAATATCTGTCTTGTAGACACTTCTTGTGTACTAAACAACTACCTGTACAGGAAGAGTTATCTGCTAGAACTCGATCTCCAGTTTGAGAATCTAAATAGCATCTGGCATCTCAGCAATGCGTCAAGAGTGGGACAGCTACATGGACATCGTGATCCACGAGATGATCACTCCATACCTTAAGACTACGCAGACAGAGACAAAACAAGTGATTGTCAGGGAGTGAAAGCAGAACAAACAGAGCTCCCTGAGCTGATCTTAGTCTTAATTATTATTCATTTCTGAATATCGGTGAAGGCAATGATTGCTCTGGACAGTATAGCCAAAGTGAAGTAGCATAAATTCCAGTATGATTGTGTAACGCAAAACAGAGTGCTCCAGCTGGGGTATTTTCTAAGGGAATTCACAGTTAGGGAGGAGGTGCTTTTCTGGTCTTTCAAAGAACAGGGAGTGATCAGGGAGAGGAATCCGGAGACAGTGAGACCAAAAGATAAGCCCAAAGACATTGATTAGATAAGCAGGTAGGTAAACGATTCTTGATGTTCAGATATTTCTCTCAGTAAACTGGGGCAATAACTTAAACTGGTGATGGGAACATGCAAATACTGAATTCATTACACTCTATTATAACTACAAATAATCATGGTAAACTATTTCTAAAATTGAAACCAAATTATTTACATAAATCACAATAAAAATAGCAGATTCAGAATTTGTCTTACAGCTTTGGCACAAAGGAGTTGGTGTCCATTTGTTTGGTTGATGGCACGCACTACTGCAGTAAGTAGGTGCAGTTTGAAGAACTTTAGCCCAGGTTTATAAACAGAAATCTACGTTTTGGGCACTATAATGCATCTGTGAGCGGTAAGTTACTGGGCACTGTCAGGAGGCAATCACAACTCTTAAAGTAGGTACTTCAGATTTGGCCCATATTCACTGTAGGAGGGTGTGATTGCAAATGAGGCATGTATCCAGAACGCAGTACTGAAAACAATCTCAGCTCTTGCAGTTGTTCAATGGCCTTGCAACTTGTGTGGAGGAGAGCAGAGACAGCAAGGAAAATGAACAAACTGACCACAATACTATGGCCATTGAAGTGGGGAGAATAAAAAAGAATGGAGTAATGTTATCATAGGAACCGGTATAATTGGAATACGTATCAGTTTTTGCAATGGAGAGCTCAAATCCCAAAGGCTAAGTTGCCTATATAGCACTGGCTTAGGGACGTCTCTTTGTGGTTGGAGTGGAACTTGGACTGTGACGGGGGATTTAGTTCTCAAGATTCAGAGAGTACCAGCAATATAGATCGGACTATTAAAGAGGTGTTGCTAAGGGAATGAGTAGCTGGGGGCTAATTTAAAAAGCAGAACCATAAAAGCATTGATCTTTGGATTACTACCTGAGTCACAAGTAAATTGCACAGGGATGTAAGGTCAAAAAGTTGAATGTGTACCTCAAAGATTGATATCCTGGGAATAAGTTAGCTCAATAGGATGGATGGCTGTGGAGCGACATACATGGCACAGATTCACCATGAACCGAGATCATCCTGAAGGCCTTATCTTCTCAATCTTAAGCCCTCATCTGAGGCGTGGTGACCCTCAGGTTAAATTCACCACCAGCCATTTCTCTTTATAATGACAGAGCAGTCTGTGATCCTTTGTGACAATGGTGACTTTCACTTTTCAAAGATTTGTGTGGGAGCAATGGGTTTCAGTTCATGGGTCACTGGCACTAACAGTGGAGAAGGAAGATGTACTGTTGGGATGGTCTTCACCTGAACCTCAATGAAATGACTGTCCTGGCAAATCATATAACGGGAACTGCAGGGGCACCTTTAAACCACAGTGGCAGGGTGGTCACAAGAGTGGAGGTTTGCTAAATTAAAGGGAAAGGACAAAGTAATATGACAGGGTAGCAATATGGGGAGTGATAATAAGAGTCTGACAGGACAGGACAGCATTTATAAACATAAGAAGAACCAATACATAAGAACGTGGTACAGAAAACTGTAAAAAGATTGAATTAAACACTGTTTATCTGAACACATGTACAACTTGCACAAGATGAATGAATTGATAGCACAAATAGAAATGAAAATTATATGACAGCTGATATAGAGACATTCTTGTCAGGTCACCAAGGCTGGGACCTGAATATTCAAGCGTACTTGGCATTTTGGAAAAACAGGGCAAAAGGAAAAGAAGGTAGGGTAGCTCTGATAATAACCAGATGCTATTTATTCATCAGTGAGAAACCATTTTGGATCAGGAGATCAACTGCAGAATCATTCATTGGTGGAGGTGGTTTATAGCCAACTTACTGTGGTTACACTGTAGGACAGCACATAAATTAGGAAATATTGGGGACTTGTGAGAAAGAAACTTCAATAATTGTAGGTAATTTCAATTTTCACATTGATTGAACGAATTAAATTGGCACAGGTAACCTAGATGATGAGTTCATAAAGTGTATTTGGGACAATTTCTTAGAACAATACCTTCTTTGGGCTGACTATGCCTAGTGGGATAGGATGAATTAATGACCTCACTGTCATGGAAGCAAGAATGATCCTAACATGAAGGCATTTCATTTGCAGTTTGAAGGCGAGAAACACAAGCCTGAAACTAACATGTTCAGCTTAAATGAAGGTAATTACAAGGCTAAGGTGACAGAGTTGAGTAAAGTAGACAGGGAATTTGGTTTAAAGGGTAGGATTTAGACAAACAGTAGTAAACATTTTAGGAGATACTTCATCATTCTCAAAGATATATTGTATTGAGAAAGAAAGATTCTGAGAAGAACACACCATCTGTCGTGAACTAATGAAGTTAAAATGGCTTCAAATTGAAAGAAAGGGTTGTAGAAGATTAGTGGTAGGCCAGAAATATACAAAGATGATGGTGACAGCTATAGGACAGACACCTAGAAGTATGTTTTTGAAGCTAATACTGAAACCTGTTTTAGATAAGGACAAGAATAGGAGCTCAACATTTCTGACAATAGGTTTTTGAATGGGATAGAAAGGTGAGTTTACAAAAAAGAGAGGAGGAATGATTACAGTTCAATGAAAGAAATAATTACGGCTGAGAGAAAGAATGATATGTTAGAAGGATTGCCAAAGGCAGCCACTTAAATTGAAGAGAGGAACAAAAAAAGTGGTAGTCACTAACGCATGCCAATATGTTTTGATGAGGGTGTAGCGTCCAAAAATGGCTCAGTGATAGAACATAACAATCAATGGGTATTTGTGACAAGGGTGTTTTTCATGGAGGTTCTGCAGACCTGAGAATTCAGACCCTTGCTTTTGTGGAGTATAGCAATGATTTAGCGTTAAATGTAGAAAGTTTTCAAATGATACAAAACTTGTTTGTTTGGCTGCTAGTGAGGAAGGAAGCTATAAACAATGGAATATTTCAATTGTGGGTGCTAAGGTGGGTGGAAAAGTGGCAAAGAAGATTCAATCTAGAGAAATAGAATGTAATGTATTTGGAAAGGGCAAACAAGATTACATGATGGCACAGTCATTAGCACTATTGACTCACAGCACCAGGGACCAGGGCTTGATTCCAGCCTTGGGTGACTATCAGTTTGGAGTTTGCACACGTGTGCATTTCCTCCAGGTGCTCTAATTCCTCCAACAGTCCAAAGAAGCATAGGTTAGGTGGATTGGCATGCTGAGAATTGCTGAGTAGTGTCCAGGGATGTGCAGGCTGGGTAGGTTATCCATGCTAAAATCCCCATGCAGGATGATGGGGATGGAATGGGATGCTCTTCGGAGGTTGGTGCAGACTTGATTAGCCGGATGGCCTCTTTCTGCACTGCAGGGATTCTAAGAAAGGAACACACAATAAACGGTAGGATACTGAGAAGTGTAGAAGAATAATGGGAACCTTGGAATGCATGTCCATAGATTTGCAAAGGTAGTAGGACAGATAAATAATGTGGTTGAGAGGGTTACACAATCTTTCCCTTTATTAGTCAAGGCACAGAATATAACAGCAGTAAGGTTGTGGTACAACTGCAATAAGCATTTTTAAGTCACAGCTAGAGTATTGTGCATAATTCAATAGGATGAGTAGCCCCTTCTGTACCAAACATTTTTTCTGTTGGGCTGGACCCTTACCCCGGGAGTCTTAACAATGCCTGCAACAGTGGCCGATCACGATACTCAAAAACAATTCTTCGTCACTTAACCCAATAGAAGTGTCATTGTTGCAATGTAAAACACAGCAGCCAATTTGTACATAGCAAATACTCACAGATAACTCTATGTTAATAACCGCAATTTGTTTTACTGATGTTAAATGGAGGATAAATATAACTGAGAATAATTAAAGAATTAAATCTCCCACTCCTGTTTGAAATAATGTTTTGGAAACTTTTATGTTCATCTGAAAGAATGAATGGACTTTGGGACAACATTTAAACTAAAGGCTAGCGTCTTAAAAGGTATAGCACTTCTTCATTGAACCACCAGCTTGCTTCTTTGCACTCAGTTCTCAGGGGTTGGTCATGAACTCACACACTGTTGACTCAGAGGTTGAAACCCTCTGACGAACTAAGCCATTGACTGAAACGGACAATATAAAAAACTGGACGTGGAATACAGAGAAATGGCATGACAATACAGCAGAGTATGGATGCCATATGTATGTAAGTTGATGGGATGCCTGCAGATGATATTGCTGACCATGGGCAGTCCTGTGGATTTGGACAACAGAGTGAAAACCGTGCAAGGTCATAGTATGAACAACCACGTTATTACAAATAAGAAGTGGTCTAAGCAGACAAGATGAAAACATGGTAATGGGAAATAACACAGGTTGAAGTATTACGTGCCGGACATAAAACACTTGGGACTTTGACATTGGTTGTAATGAAGCTGGGCCCTTTGCACTGTATCTAATGAGATACTCATTCTGTAACCAAATATTATAAGGCAAGATCAACAAAAGCACTCACCTTTTCTCATCTACTGCAATAGGTTTAGCATGATCACTAACAAACATGTCGTGGGTTCTTTTCAGGGATCTGAACACCAGTGTGTGTACAGAATGTTTCTGCACCTCCTGCCAAAAAGAAAAAAAAAACAATTTTGAATTATGTATGAACTTCTCATTCTGTAATAACTAATCAACTAATTAAATTGAACTAAACAATGACAAAGTAGGTGGAATTGCTGAACAAAATACACTGATTCTTTCTATACTTACACATTTCAACATGCCATGTAACCTTAGAAGATATCTTGCAGGCACTTCAAGAAATATTATCATAGGGTCAAGTGAAACAATATGTCAGCACAATGACATTTACTTTTGGAAACAGAATAAAACACATGAATCGCCATATGACATGTGCTGGGCAGTTTCTAGTGACAGTAGGCCCAAATCACAAAACACTTCCAGCCCTTGAAAATGTTTCGCTGAGGAAATTGGTATCCACAACTGGTGAGAGTGGCAGTCATCCTGGAGACCAGACACTGTCAAACCATTACATTCTCACTTTCTGGGATTCTGTTGTTATAGTTAAGCATTGTTGGAGTAGCGTCAAAAATAGCTTTATTCTTTCCCTGATCATCCTGCAGCTAACCTGAAAATGCTCAGTACTATCACTGGAGAGTTCTAGAGCAATTGGAATTCATTCCTCGCCACTGACTTTCTTGACTTTAACAAGCACTACATACAATTAAAGCACAGAAACAAAACACACTCCAGCTCATAAGAACCCCAGAAGTAGGAGAAGGCCTTACGGCCTCTTGAGCCTGCTACACCATTCAATAAGATTATGGCTGCTCTGATCTGGGTCTCATCTCGTTTCCCGTAACTCTTGACCCCTCCATTCCCACCATTCTGTAGTTCAAGACTGTATCTCCACCTTGAATACAGTCAATGATTTTGAATCCAGAGTGCTCTCCAGTAGAATATTCGAAAGAGTCACAAACCCCTAGAGATGAAACCTCCTCATCTCTATTTTAAATGGGTGTCCCTTTATTTTGAACATTCAGCACTTTCAAGTTCTCTCATGACAGTAGACTGCAGATGAGCAATAGTGTATAGTGCAGGTCAACTGAAGACCTAAAACTTTATTCCACTTCATATGTTGTCTAAAATAATTGCAACTTTGTTGAAAAAGTTTCTAAACTTTTAAACTTTAATGTATGTATCTTCTGTGAAGGAAACTAAAATTCAATGCTCATTTCATGCCACCACCTCATGTTTTGTGGTAATGACTACACATTTCTTATCAAGCATATAATTTATGGTTACATTTATGCCAAGTCTTCCGTCAACCCCTTCACTCAAAGGTTAAGTTATCCCTAATTATTACGCGGGTATATTAGGGTTGTTCAATAATAAAACACCAATTAACAAATTGATAGAATTCACAAGTTAAAATTCAAACGTACTGGAGCAAGATCAGAAAAGTTAATTGGAAATGGTACCAATGGAAAGCCTCACTCATAATGAGAAATTTGCCTAGTAGGCTAGTAGCATAAATTTTCCAGAATTTTGACAGTTTATCTCAGGATTACACATTTGAATAGTCATAGAGTTAGAAAATTAGAAATTACACAGGAAATTTGTCTGATATAGATGCTCTTCCATAAAATGAGCAGTTCTGATCCTGCACCCCAATTTCTATTCTAATGTATTTTCCTGCATGACTTTGTCACTTTCTCACAAGTGCCCATTCCTAATTAACATTTATGGTGCCTACTTTATTGAATACTGCATTACATAATCTTATAAGCCTCCTGTAAGTCACATCTTCCACTCTCCATCATTCTGCACATCTCAAAAATGCAAAGTTACCAGCTACTCCGTTTCATCTCTATAAATTTTAAACACTTCATTGACAGTCCATGCGTTCCTCTATATTAACAAAGGTAGGTTGGAATGTTTAAGTTTTATCACATATACATGGGCGTATTAAACAAGACTCATTCAGACGAATTCTAATTTGCAACGAGAAACAGATAAATGGGGGGGAAATCGCAACGGCAAACTTTCTGTAAGTATACAATTGATTAAAACCAAAAGCTGAATAATTTAGAAAGGCATGCAAGGTAAGAGATCACTGCATCTTTATTTCTGTTATGTATTTGAATGGATAAATGCCGGGTAGTGAGGGACGATAAGAAAGTTATACTGTATTTAATCAGCATGCATTTTACTTTTATTATAAAATGAGAACTTTGTAAAGCACGTCAACTTCCTTTCTTTCAAACAGGAAAAGCTTCCCCAACATCATCATCCTTTTCTATTTTCCTCGGCAACTTGAGAGGGGACCTCCCCTCTTCCTTGCTTTATTGTGCGAGGTAAGCGGCCAGGCCGGAACGCTCAGACCCTGCAACTGGCGGCTCAAAGGCCGAAAGCCCGAGGGCCCGAGAACAGCGGCACATCCACACTCCCTCCTATTGAATCCTGAACATAACCCAAATACCCCACCTCCACCATAGCTGCAACTCGAACTGCTTTTTAAAAGCGGGCTCCAGATCCCAGCAGAAACCGCCACCTCCCCGCGTGACCGGTCTTCCCAATCGCAAGAGCAGCCCTCACTTCCCAACCGGAGATGGACGGATAACAAAGAGAAGCCCTGTCGTGGGATTGTCTGTCCGCCAGCGACAGCGCCACTTACTCCGTGCGGCCGTACACCATATCAACAGCGACAGAGTGTAGGAATTGCCGATGCTGGAGTCTGAGATAACGAGGTGTGGAGCTGGAGGAACACAGCAGGCCAAGCAGTTTCTTCGGAAGGGTCCAGACCCGAAACGTCAGCTTTCCTGCTCCTCTGATGCTGCCTGGCGTGCTGTTCCTCCAGCTCCATACCTTGTTATCATCATATCAACAGTGCTGCAGGCTTTTGGCTGCACCTATTTTCAATTGAGTTCTTCAGGACGTGCAGCATGCCACAATATATTACTATATCAGATACATTATTCTGAAGGTTCCAGTGGGCCAGGGATAGTGTCCCCACCTCTCGACTAGAAGGCTAGAGTTCAAATCTCTGACTCCTGAAAAATGGCCACTGGACTCGAAACATTAAGTCTGCTTTCCCTCCACAGATGCTGTTATAAGATAAGATGTAGGAGCAAAATTAGGCCCATGGAGTCTGCTCCGCCATTTGATCTCAACCGACCTGCTGAGTTTCTCCAGTAAGTTTTATTTCAATCCTACTTGCTCCAGATTTGTGTCATGAATGCTGAACAGTTAGACTTTAAAATATTAACATTTTCTCCCACCCCCAGCTTCCCCACAACCATGGTCAGATAGTTAAGAGAGCAAAGCAAACGGGACTTGCACGGGGTCCATACAGAATGATCAATGCAGCGGTCTCTGAATTGTCTGGGAAGTTGAATTTTCCAGGAATAATTGTCTCCCCTCGGAAATGTCAAAAAAAATCTTTCAGAGTCCTGAGAGCTCATTTAAGCTTAATATTCACTCAGGAAATGGTAGAAGATTAAAAATCCATGTTAAATCCTGACGAACTATTAAACTTAGCCCCACAACAACAATAACACTGCAACCCCTGGTATACCTCACACCCCTACCCCTGACCCAGCATCTGCCCCAACTACTGAATGCCACTAGATCTAACACACCCATCTACTCAACAGATCTCATCTCACACAATGCAACCACATCCCACCCTCTGCCAGACTTGACAGCCCCATAGGAACCAGACCCAACTCCACACCCACTCCTGAACCAGTCCAACTCTTAACAGCTCTGGCTCCACCCTGTGACCTGACCCTACATTCTCTTGACACAACCTGAGACTGCTGGGCCTGACCTCTAGCCCACCTGAAATATCTCAACCCCTGCTGGACCTGACTCAGTTTTAACTTCCGAGTAACCATTTAACAGACCCCTTTCTTACGTATACATCTCCGAAGGCACTTTCACCAGATACCTTACACCCTTCACTTGCCCCAGGATCTGTACGCTCTTCTCCAGATCCATACCTGACCTCCTTCCTGCACCAGAGACCTGACCTGACACCTCATCACCTGTCAGCTGACATGCTCTCCCTTCCTTTCTGCCAGACTGGACAAAATCTGAGCCCCATGCTACAACACAACAATCCCCTCACCCTCTGACACTGGACCTAAACAAACACTCCACCTCCCTCCTGACCCACTTCCTTCCCATCTGCTACTGGAGCAGACCTGACCCCCAACAGTTGGACTTGACCCCTTAACCTCCTGTGCCAGACCTGACCAGACCATGTTTGCTTGCTTGAATTGATGGTAACTGCCAACATAGAGAGTGTGGGCCTAAAAGTCTGCTTCCATATTATAGTTTCTATGTATTTCTGTCCCATTTCTAGCATCAACCCTATTTTGTTATTTTCTATTTCATGGAGAATCCTAATGTTAGTGCTTCCTGAATGTTCCTCTCTGTTAATGATAGACTCCAAAGACAATCCTACATTCCAATATCCAGTCTACATCAAGGACTTATTTCAGTTGCCAACTACACTTACTGTGCCTGAGCTGCTGAAACATCACTATCATTATCCAAGGTCAAGGGCTTGGTTTCGCTCTGTTGGCTGGTCTGTGATCTGGTGATGCGGTTCAATTACCACAACAGCTGAGGTTACTATGAAGTATTCTTCTTCTCCACCTCTCCCCACACCTGAGATGTGGTGACCCTCCACTAGTTGTTTCTGTCCAGTAGGAGTACAGCAACTTTTACCTTTAATGCAAGGTTAATTCAACAAATATTCAAATGTTTCATCTTAGTGATGATATATGGTCAGAAGTACACAAACTCATGGGTGTAAGACTTCAGAGACTGGCAGAAAATTAGGCTCTGGTGGTTGTGCAGAAAGGGCAGGGAATGGTTCTCAAAGAAAATTAGCCTTTCAAGGCTTAATCAGTACGGAGGAGGAATGGCAGATCGACTTTAAGTCAAGATTAAGTCAAGAGTATTTTTCTAATTTATTACCTAGCAGAATTTCAAGGGCTCTCAGTTTATTTACATCGTGGTTTAACAGTTATCATTTTTAATTTTGTTGCTTCAGCTATTTAGAGTGCAAAATAGAATCATAAAGGAGGCCAATGAGCTCGTTATGTCTTTGTAAGCTCTTTTGAAAGAATTATCCAATTAATGCCACAATCACGTTCTTTCCCAAAATTATAGCAATTTTATTCAAGTATTTATTCAATCATTGGAGGCATCAAGTATATCATCCCTTTTCAGTACTAAACAGTGTCTTTGATCAAAACTGCCACCTCTTCCTTTCTTTTGAAATACCAATAAAAAGGACAAAATCAGTCTAACATTTCCTGTAAAATATCTTTATTGATCAGTAAAAGGCAAACATTCTTTCTTTAAGAAACGAACAAATTCAGAAGAGCATTCATAAGAGCTGGGAATCAGGTTGACGATGGTTTCCATTCCCTGTTGATTTGCTGCAAAAGGAAACGGATTGTACTGCAATGCCAAGAGCAGTAAAAGATGCTGCCTCAATAATGTAGGAAACAACTTCACCCTTAACCAATGTCAAGCAAATAATTATCTGGTTATTTGTCTCACTGTTTGGGACATCTTGAGGTCATCAGAGATGCTTTATAGATGCATGTTATCTAACCTCTTCTACAAAAGTGAAACTAATACAGTCAGCATTATACTATAGACCAAAGAGGTTTCCTCCCCTTATTTGTTTTCAGTTACCTTATCTTCAAGTGCTGGATACAATCAAAACTATTAACAGTCCATTTATTCCTGTGATCCAATCGATTTTAATTTATTTCCTCACCAAATTTGGAGAAATCAAGGTATTTAGAATAGTGTCTCACTGGAACTTTTTTGTAAACAAAATTCTCTTATGCTGTTATTTATATTGTGTTTCAATTGCCTTTACCATATATCTTTATCCATATTTCTTTAACTAGGGGTGCATTTACAGGGAGTCAAAGTTTAATCTCAAGTCCTCCTGTAATGTGCAATCCTGAAGGTTCTTCAGGAACTATAAAAATGAAAATAAAAGGAAGAGGCTGTTACTTCAGAGTCCCTGGGTATCTTTTGGTTTCTGCATCTAATTCTCATCTATATGCTGTCCTTCAGCAGCATCATTCAAAGACAAACCATCAGGTTCCAAGTAAACATTAATGACCCCTAATTCTGCCTCTCTGCCAATTCTGTCAAACCCTCCACTTCCTCTATGTTGTCATAATGTTTGTATAACGTTCAGTTTCAAATGAGTTCTAATTCCTTGTAGAAAACACCACAAAGACTGAAGTCATTGTTTTCAGCCTTTAACATAACCTCTATTCCACTATTATCAATTTCAATTCACTCCAGGCCACTGTTTCAGGCTGAAACAGATTGTATCAAACCTCTGTGATCTACTGGATGCAGATGTGAACCTCCACCTTTATCCTTTCTAACACAAAACCGGCTATTCTCACCACTTTGACTTCACCACCTGTGTCCCTGCCTTCGAATCCCTACAGCTAAAACACTCACCATACCGTTATTACTTCCTACTCCAGTGATCTTCTGGCTAGCCACCCATTGACCACTCTCTACAAACTTGAGCTCATCCCAAACTATTCTGCAGACATACTAATGCATAGCAAATCGGCTCAACAGCAGGGCCAGAAAGAGAAATCCTGGTGCTGCTTCTGTTTCTAGGCCCCATATTCCACAGCAGGCCCCACACCAGCATGAACTTTTCTTCTCATATCCTTTCTTAAGGGCTACATTTTGACTTTCAGAGGTTACATTTTGTTTACAGAGAATATTTTTCATTCTCACTAACTCATTTATTAAGTGCTGCAGTCATGTAGTAACGATTCCTTCTATATATATGTTGAAATTTGGGTATTTAGATACACATTGAAGCAGTCTTAGAAGAATTCATAAATCTACCCAATCAACCATCCATTAAACTTAAAGCAGTAATACACAAACATTAATTTCTTAGACACCACAACAATTAAATTGGCAAAGAAAATAGGTACAAATTAGCAATGAAACTTTTTTCAAAAATGGCTAACTAACGTCGGGCGGCATGGTGGCTCAGTGGTTAGCACTGCTGCCTCACAGTACTAGGGACCCGGGTTCGATTCCATCCTTGGGCGACTGTCTGTGTGGAGTTTGCACGTTCTTCCCGTGTCTGCATGGGTTTCCTCCGGGTGCTCCGGTTTCCTCCCACAGTCCAAAGATGTGCAGGTTAGGTGGATTGGCCATGCTAAATTGCCCATAGTATTCAGGGATGTGTAGATTAGGTGGGTTATAGGGGGATGGGCCTGGGTGGGATGTTCTGAGGGTCAGTGTGGACTTGTTGGGCCAAAGGCCTGTTTCCACACTGTAGGATTCTATGAGATTCAATGTGAACGTGCAACATTTCCACACATGGAATTCAAGCGCAGAAATGCACATTGCATGGTAAGTAAGGTTGGAATATTGGAGGCACTGGTTGCCTATTGGAACTATGATGTAAATGAAGTAACAAACTCAACTAAAATAAAGGGGGGTGGTGTATAGGCGTTTTGTTTTCTCACACAGTGACTTTTTATGATCAGGAATGTACTGTCTGAAAGGGTTTTAGAAGTAAATTCAACAGTAACTTTCAAAGGAAATTAGATAAATACTTGAAGACAAAATACTTACTGGGCTTTGGAGATAGAGCACAGAAATGGGACTAATTGATTATCTTTCATGAAACTTGTTCGGTCTGAGTGAGCAACTGACCTCTGTGTTATGTAGTTTTGTGTTTTTGGGTGGAATTTTGCTGCTTCTTTGATGGTGGGTTTGGAAGCAGGGGCTATTGGGTCAGGCCGGGAAGATAGAGGGGAATCAAGTTGGAATGGATCTCCGATGCATTTCCACCAGCACAGAGCTTTGTCTGAGTTGGATTGGGAAGAAGATTGGTTGTTTGCTGCACAGATATACGTCTTGGTCATTGTGGTCTCAATTACAAGGGATTTCACCACTTGTGGCTTGACCTGCATCTCACCCCACCCACCACTGTCACATGTGGAGGCAGCCAGCTCAATGAAGGCAGAAGACTGGCAGGGCACTGAAGCTTTATATAGCCCAAGGAGAGTCAGCATTTGTGAAAGGCCAAAATCATGGCTCAGACTGATTGGATGGAATAATTTACCTCCATTTCAATTGGCACATCAATCCAGATTCTGGTGACTTGTTATTTGTGATGTAGGCTGGTGAGAGCATCTCTAGTACCTACTGAAGCTCTAAGAGTTGCCAGCCCTCTAATTGGTTTTGCAACATTGGGAGCCCCATCCACTGTCCTCAACTGGTTAGCAAATCTGAATTTGGCTCTTTGCTTAATATTATTTTGAATCAAAAGTAAGCAACATGATAGTGCACTAATGTAAACAAGCTGACAATCCAATAAAATATCATTGACCATTAAAGACGTGACTGGATGCTTCTCTGGAAGTGTATGGAAATGCTTAAACTTTTTCTTTGACGTTACAAATACTATTTCAACTAAAAGTAAAACATTAGTTTATTAAGGCTCAGTTTGTTCCAGAAAACAATGTCCAGATTCCATGGTTATATTTTCTTTACTGTGGTGTAATTCTGCACATAAAAAGAATAAGCAATTTCTAGCAACTATGGTCACACTTACCAAACCTTTTTTAAGTGTTATTTTCATTTAATTACTATTTCCTCTGAAACGTTTTAATACTTGGATCACTTCCTCCAGTTTCATCTTCAGACAGACGGGCGACATCATGATTAAAATCTGCAATACCTTTGAATCCCTTGGAACTACCACCACTGGACCAGTGTTGAACTGTTCTTTCATGAACAACTGTTTTTCTTGAACCACTAGCCTCATCTGGTCTGCCCAAAATATCTCTATGACTTAAACTGGAAAAGTCTCCTATGTTTTCAAAATCACTTGATTCACCGGTAGTTGTGACTGTTTTTGTGTGAACTACACTCTCATGCCCAGATGATTTTACTCCAGGATTTAGTAAGCTTTCAAAATCATCTAAGTTATGTGAAGATGTGCTTGTCTTAGTTAAAGTTGTGGTAGGACCCTTAGTCCTACCAACTATTCCATGTTTCGCAAGTAAAACATCCATTGAAAGAGGGAGAGGACTAGACTCACCCATTGTTGTGACTGTTTCAGTAATTTTACCATCTTTCGAAATAATTGTTCTGGTGGTGACAGACCTGTTTGTAAAGTGTGTTCCATATTGAGAACCTTGGCCAAAGTTTGATGAGAAATTGAATACTCCACTAAATGACCTATCTGGATGCAAAATGTTTCGATCTGGATATGAAAATTCACTGACTCCTTTATGACTGCTACTAGTCTTAGTACTAGTACTAGTGCTAGCGCTAGCGCTAGTGCTACTACTGGTATTACTAGTTCCACTAACACTTGGATCATTCGTATTTGGTTCTAGGATGAACATGTTATTATCTGCTTCATCCCAGATACTAGGATACAACGTTGTTTCTGGCACAATTTTTGTTTCAAGAGATTTATAATTGCCGGAAACTGCAGAGTCCTTAACAACCCTCATTTTGAATATCCGAATTGGTTTCCCATGTTGAATCTTCTCCACTCTGTGAGAAGCCATTGACTTAAGATTTTTCTCCATTTGTGCGTTCTGTTTTCTATCAATGCTGTAAACAAATGATTGTGCGCAAGATCCTTTGCAAGCTCGTAGCTTGATGTCAATGTCAACCTAGCAAATAAACAGAATTTAGAAGTGTTTTAAAATTTGGTAAAAAATATTGATAGCTTATTATGCATTTTAAATTGAAGTATTGTTCTTTGTCAACTTTCAAACTACTTAAAAACAATGGTGCTTAATTTTATTCAGATCAGCAAAGCTGCAGCTATCAAAGTATTATTTGCCAAGTACAGAAACTACTTATTATCTAATCATGTATTCAACTACCTCAATTTACAGAATCAGGCAATTGCACATTTTGGATAATGGACACAGCCACGTCTTAACCTCAGATGGGTGGAATATGGGAATGTGCTGCTGTCTGCTGTTGGGGTCAAGAGCCACAGGTTCATGTAAAAGTCATCTTAACTCAGATTGCACCTTATCTGGGAAGGCCTTTTTGCTTACAGCAGTTGTTTAAGTGAGTGAATACTCAAGGAAACCAGGCTTACCAGTATATACTTTCCCCACTTACAAACATATTGAATAATGCTTCCTGCCAGTTCCATTGTGTATCATTTCCAAAAGGAGCAATCATTTTGATATCATCTGCATAGTGCAAATGGGCAGTGATAATTCAAAAAAGTTGGGGAATATTGTATGCACACTGATACTGTGGTCAACACTGTCTTCATATGCCCTATCATTGAGAGGTTGGAATAAAAACTGAACGAACTGCGGATGCTGTAAATCAAGAATAAAAACAGAAGTTGCTGGAAAAGCTCAGCAGATCTGGCAGCATCTGTGGAGAAAAAAATCAGAGTTAACATTTTGGGAAACCTGGAATGCTTTTTAAGAAAGACAGTCGGTCCTATTAAAGTTTTAAATAATATTCTGTGACAGGTATGGCCCAGTTGCCAATACAAGATTGTACTGGTCAAAATATGCACCATGGGTACTTCATACAGTTTCAACTGGCATTCCAACTAAAAAGACACCTAAAAAACAAATCTTAATTTATGTTTATGGATCCATTACTAGCAGGATTGTTCCTTCAGGCTTCTTAAACATGAAATCTAAGTTGATTCAAGAGCTGATGCCGAACCCACATCCCTCCATTCAACACCAGACCAAACATTTTCCAGGCTCAGGGTCCTGCTGTGCTGTCCAATGCTTTAATCAGAACAGAGCGAACAGGTTACTCTTGGATGCCTATTTTCTACCTGCAGCTTGCTGGTGTTGTGTGTTCAAGGTCTGCTGCATAAAATTGACTGAAACATAGTTGGAACTATCAAGTAGTCAACAAGTACAGAGGAAATCCCCAACTAATAAAGGGAACTGAATGAGACCCACCTAGCTTACATTGTAATTCCATTCTCCAGCCACCTAAACACCATTCCAGCTGATTTGAAAAGTGTGCAGCCTTTCAGGGCTGTCTTTTTAAGTACATCTGTTACTCAGCCACTGTAAACTTTGCACAATGTCAGTAAGCCATTACATAAAATTCAGCAGGAATCAGCATGCTGCTTCATGCTGAATACTAACGAAGATATGTCTAAGCCTGAAGGGGATAAAGGAGACCAACTTTTGATTTTGCAGTCTCCAGTTTCCCCATATGACATGAGGCAGTTAGTTGCCTTGAAGCATACATCCAGCAGTAGGCCAGGCTTAGCTAATTGTCTAGACAGGCTGGTCTGTTGATGGATTCAACCCTTGCACCCTTCCCACACTACCTCACAGTGATGCCATGACTGACTTCTTTTATATTTTCTTTGACTTTTTTTTAAATGTTGGTGAGAGAACACATTCATTTTGAAATGTCCTCTCAGTTACTTACCATTTAGCGTAGCCTGCTGCTTCTCTCAAGCTGGATGGCTTCTGATTGCCCTTCAAGCTTAAGAGCCAGCCTGCAGCCATTAAATGGACAGAGAATGTCTCCATGCCAATTAAGGCAGAATTTCAAATTAATAATGTTCCCTTTGAGGGATGGATCTCAGACCCATAAATAGTCCTGACTCCTGTTTTACAGCCCGAAAGCAAAATTTCAGTGTAATTTTTTTCCAACTTCAAAGTAAATACTTTCATCATTGCAAATATATACCTCTAAACCTCTACTAAAATCCAGTTAACTGTATCTAACAAAAAAATTTCTTAGATTCATAGAGTCATGGTGATGTACCGCAAACAGACCTTTCGGTTCAACTCGTCCATGCCGACCAGATATCTAGATAAATCTTGTCCCATTTGCCAGCATTTGGCCCATATCCCCTAAACCCTTCTGATTCAAATACCCATCCAGATGCCTTTTAAATGTTGTAATTGTAGCAGCCTCCACCACTTCCTCTGGCAGCTCATTCCATACATGCACCATCCTCTACGTGACAAAGTTGCCACTTGGGTCCCTTTTAAATCTTTCCCCTCTCACCTTAAACCTATCTTGTATTAGAACATCTTAAATATGAAACAGCAATTCCCCAAAAGATCTTATTTGTTTCCACAGCAAAGTTTACACTATCCTTCTGCATTTTGTCCTATCCTGGACAGGCAGTACTTTGAATTGCACTCAACAGAAGTGCAATATTCAAAAGTGTACACAATTACAACTTTGTGAAGATGAAAAGTGATTGCGTAGACTGGTTAAACAAAAAAATAGAGCTGTCTACAATATAACAAAATCAATTTTAAAAATTTAAAATGGATTTTGCAAATATGCCATAACATAATCAATTTCAACAATAGATTCTAAAATATGAACAGAACTTTCTGCACAGTATAGGAATTTAATGGGACACTGATATTTTAAAATTAATGCATCCTTTACCTCCAATCTTGAGATTTCATTGTATTGTTCTATTATATTGTTTTTTATTGTGTTTACTCTGTCAATTTGGTCATCGACTCTTTTCTGCAAGTTCATAAGCCTGATATTCAGACGATCCACCAGTTCTTGATAGGTGTTCCCAAATCCTAAGAATACAGCAAATGATATAATAATTCTAACGGAACTTATTTTCATTGAACAGGCTACAAATAAATGCATTTAAATTCCCAGAATGAACATTTAATTTTTTAGATTTAGAATGGAGTGAGGAAAGAATCAAAAGTTAGATAACAACCATCTTTTCTGTTAACTAATGTAGGCTGATTGAAGTTTTCAATGTTTCTGGGTAGTTTTGTTTTATTTAGAGTGCAGAGGCTGCATGGGTGTTTTGTGTGGTCACTTTGAGGAGTGAACCTACTTGTCAAATTACTTAGTAGGTAGCGACTGGAAGTAGCAGGAGGCATAAGGGATGCACAGATGACATAAGCACATGACACATTGGCTTCTGAGGATTGCTGGAGGGGTGGGGATGTTGATGAAGACCACAAACAAAGAAAAGTAAGGGAGGCCCTACAATAAATGCCCAAACTGGAGAGACTGTGTTTGTGAGGGTTGGGAAAGGATTGATGAGAAGCACAACGGCAGCACTAGTGGGATGGGTATCGCATCGAAAAGATGGAAAGAATGGGATGGGGATGGTATGATAAGATTGGCATCAGGAGAATGGAATAGCACAGGAGGAAGGATTTTGCTTGAGGGGGGTGGCTTGGCAGAGGGTTGATGAGATGATAGAACTGGTTCAGGGTGGTAAAAGTCTATCCAGTTTCTAGTTAGTCTACCACTGTTGGGAATGTCACCACATACAGAGAATCAAGAAATGGTTAATATTACTACAAAACATGAATCCTAAATAAAGACTTTGTCACAGAAGAAGATTGGTAGTTGGCACGTTGTTTTCTTTCATGATAGATGCAAAAATTAAAACGGGCTGATTTCAAGGAAATAGTTGGTTTATTCCTGGAATAATAGAGACTCAACTCAGAATAAAAAAAGCAGTTCTCATTTTTAAAGACCACGAACGAACGAACCGCGACTCTTGGTGGAGTTTGTATTATATTTCTAGCTCGGTTTATAGGCACATGGAGAGCTTTTGTACCTTTATTCAGAGTGAGAACCTTTGATTCTGTAAAAATCTGTGGTGAAATAATAGCTAGATACGCTGTATTTAAAGAAGAATTGTTATAGAGAAGATGCCAATTTGTCCACGTCTCTTTGCTAGTCTCTATTTCGCCAGTAAAAGGGGAAGCAACAGAAAATAAAACTGCAGCCACAGGAGGAAAAATTTTACCACACAAACAGTTGTCACCTGTTCAACTTTAGGGTGAAGCTTACGAAACACAAAGGTGAACATTTTTTTAAAAAAAAGCAAAAGAACTGCGGGTGCTGGAAATCATAAACAAAATCAGAAATTGCTGGGAAATCTGGCAGCATCTGTGGAAATCAGAGTTAACGTTTCGGGTCGAATGACCCACCTTCAGAACGTTCTCACCACGTATGCTGTCAGATCTGCTGAGATTTTCCAGCAATTTCTGTCACCAATTTTAAACTCCGGAATTAAAAGCTAAAACCTTCTTTAAGCAACACCAATACTTTCTAACGACTCACTTCCAATTCCGTTTAGAGTCTGTCTGATTCTGTTGACAGCTTCAGTCACAGTAATGTGAGTATTCTGAAATGTTTTGGAATACATGTCCAACATTCGTTGAATCTCCCGCATCCTGTCTTCGTTTTGTTGATTCTGAGCATCGATTAATCCTTGCATTCTGCACCCAGATGGACATTTGGGGCCCTGTTGGGTTAAATCAGAAATGTATTGGCCTAGTTATTAGCAATGCATAATTTCACAAAACAAAAGAAGCAATGTAACAACTTACCCAGTCTTCATCTGTACAAATCGGCCATGCCTGCTCCAAACACTGTCTGGATCGCATTTGATCTCTGGCTGCCACAGGTCGAGGACCCCGAGGCGCCACAACGGATGTCCGAGTCTGCAAACATAAGAAAGCAAAGGACATTGGTTTCAAAGACACCGACCATGTTCTCTTGGAGTAGTTTAAGCTTGGGAATTCTTTCCTGTTAAATCAATTCAACAACCAACTCGTTTAATTTTGCTAAAACAAAGAATTGCGCACGCTGGAAATCTGAAACTCAGCAGAGTTTCCGTTAGTTTGTCCCCACAGATGCTGTCAGACCCGCTGAGTTTCGCCAGCAATTCTGTTTTTGTTTCATTTATTTTTATGCTGAATATTTGCTTATAAGAAACAAGGAAATTAAAAATATGCAACTTTGACGTGCTTGATTGCTGAATCTGTACTTCGCTCTCGGTTAAAGAAAGCAAACTTACCAAACCAATGAAACATAGTATCAAACCCAAACTCAGCACTGCCTTCATTTTACCAGCTCTGCAACGATCACTTGATCAAATGCTTCTCTCTCCTTTTCGTCAAATCTCAACCCTAAAAACAGCATCAGAATATGCGTGGACATCCTGTTTACCCGAAATGTTAATTATTTACCATTCAACTGTTGCATAAGACTCTGACCCTGTCTTTGACTGTTCGAAGTGCTTATCGACAGATCGAAGATCAGAGCTATATCATAGCTACAAAGAGCTTCTACAATTACCACATACATCTGAGGGAATTGGCAAGTGGAACATTGCATTCCGAAAAGATCATCGAGTACAGGAAATTAAATAAAGTCCCAACCACAGGACAAGCCACCGAAAGCAGTGGGTGAATTTCAGATTTCCAACAAATGCAGAGGGTGCTCTCTGCAGCGATCAGCTATGCAGTCAGAGGTTTATATAGCATCACGTTAGCCACCTTCAAAGATGCTCCAAACTAAACTGCTACATTGTGAAAAGACTGCAAGCACTGGCGATGCAGAGTGACCAAACTGCAATCGTAACTAGCCCCTCAGTTTCACATGTCTGGACGCAATAACTTGGAAGGGCTTTTCAGGAAACCTTTTAGCAGCTGGTTGTCCTATTGTCTCGGAGTAAATTACTGCAGATGCTGGAATCTGTACTGAAAATAACAAATGCTCGAGATCATAGTCTATGCGCTCACTTCATTCACATGCTCTGTTAAGGATTCCCTCTATAACTGACTTTCCCATTCCAGCACAGTGCCACCTCTGATGATGGGAGGCAGTAGAAATGTGAGGATGTTGCTGGGAGTGCAACAATGTAGTGATGAGGAAAGTTTAGATGAGCTGGGTGTGTTCACCTTGGAACAGAGGAGGCTGAGGGCATATTTGATGGAGATACATCAAACTAAGTGGCCTCGATCAAATTGAAGGAAAGAACCTATATACCTTAGCCGAGAAGTCAGTGACAAGGTGTATAGATTTAAAGTAATTGGTAGAAAGGTTAGACGGAAGATGAGGAGGGAAAATACTCATTCAGAAGATTTATTTCCTTAAGTCTCCTCTAAAGCTTCCTGATCCTTACCTTAAATTTATACTGTGGGCATTGATCCCTCAAGGGGAAAAGCTGCTTCCTGTCTGCTCTCGTAATTTTTGTACGTTTTAAACACTCACCCCACTGATATCAGGATTGCATCTCCCTGTAACCACTCTCCTTGCTGATGCTGTCCCCTTAAGGTATCAGGACAGGTAGGTAAGTGAGAGAGAAGACATATGGAATATTTGTCTTCAGTAACTGAAGCAGAGAGCTTAAGCATGCGGAAGTGATGCTGGAACTGTATAATATGTTAGTTAGACCACAGTTAGAGTATTGTGCACAGCTCTGAAGTAGGAAGGATGTGATAGCACTAGAGAGTGTGCAAAGGCGATTTACCAAGTTAGTGCCTGTGCTGGAAAGTATTGGTTATGAAAAGAGATTGGATTGGTGTTTTCCTTGGGGCAGAGGATTCTGAGGGGAAATGTGATTGAGATGTATAAATTTGAGAGTGACATAGATAGAGTAGACAGGAAAGAACTTTCCGCCATGGTTAAGGGGTCATAAATTTAAGGCAAAGGCCAGGAGATTTATAGGAAATATGAGGAAAAAAACTTTCACTCAGAGGATGATACGAATCTGGAACTCACTGCCTGTGAGGGTCAGAAAACCTCATAACATTAAAGCAGTATTTAGATGTGCACTTGCAAAGGCATACAAGACTATGAGATAAATGCTGGAAAATGGGATTAGAATAGTCGGGTGGTTGTCTTTGACTGGTGCAGACTCAATGGGTCATAGGGACTTTTTTCTGTGCTGTTGAACTTTATGACTCTATACCACAATCAAATCTCCCTATAACCAGTCGCACTGCTGATATTGGAGTTGAATTTTGCTGTAAACTCTCTCAATGCTGTCATCAGAATTAAATCTCTCTCTGTCTTGAACCACTTTCCCTGGTGATATCAGGATTTAATCTCCCTGTAACCACTCACCCTGCTGTATATCAGGATTTTATCTCCCTGAGGCCACTCTTCCTGCTGATATTGGGATTGAATCACAAAAAATAACTTTGACAACATTTGTTGTTTGATTGGCGCAACATCAACGAACATTCATAATCTCTACCATTGACACTCAGTAGCAGTTAAACGTAGAACCTACAAGATGCACTGTAGGAATTCACCATCTCTTCCAATGGGATATTCCAAACCCATGACCACTTCTATCTAGAAGAACCAGAGAAACAGCTACGTAGCAATACCACCACTTGCAAGATCTCCCCCAAACCATTCGTCATCTTGACTTCTGTTTCTTCACTGCTTGTGTACTTGAACTCCATTCCTAACAAGATTGTGAGTGTTCCTACAGCAAATGGACTGCACATCTTAAGAAGGCAGCTCTCCACCTTTCAGTGCCTCCAAATGAAAGCAACAATAGCAACAACATATATTTACATGGCATCTTTAATTGACAAAATGTGCCAAGACATTTCACAGGAACATTATGGAGCAAGGCAAGACATTGAGTCATAGGATCATCTAGCACAAAAACAGACACTTCAGTCCAACCAGTCCATGCGGAACATAATCCCAAACAAAACTAATCCCATCTGTCTGCTCCTGACCCATATCCTACATCCATATCCATAACCTTTCCTATTCATGTACTTATCCAAACATATTTTAATTGTTGTAATTGTACCTGCATCAACCACTTCCTCAGGAAGTTCATTCCATACATGAACCACCCTCTGTCTAAAAAAATTACCCCTCGCATCTTTTTAAATCTCTCCCCTCTCATCTTAAAAATGTGCCCCCTAGTCTTGAATGGCCCCATCCTAGGGAACAGACAATTACCATTAACTATTTATACCCCTTATTATTTTGTAAACTTCTTTCAGGTTGCCTCTCAACCTCCTATGCTCCAGTGAAAAAAGTCCCAGCCCTATCCAGCCTTTCTTTATAACTCAAACCTTCCATACCTGGCACATCCTGATAAATGTCTTTTGAGCCCTCTCAAGCTTAATAATATCCTTCCTATAACTGGACGACCAGAATTGGACACAGTATTCCAAAAGAGACCTCACGAATATCCTGCACAACCTCAACATGATATCCCAACTCCTATACTCAAAGGACTAAGCAATGAAGGCAATCGTGCTAAGTGACTTTTTAATCGCCCTGTCTATATATAACGCAAACTTCAAAGAATTATGTACCTGAACCCCTAGGTCCCTCTGTCCTACAATGCTATTCAAGGCCCTAGTATTAATTGTATAAGCCCTACCCTTGTTTGTTGTACCAATATGCAATACCTTGCATTTATCCAGATTGAATCTGCCATTTTTCAGTCCATTGATCCATTTGATCAAGTTCCCTTTGTAATCTTAGAAAGTCTTCTTCACTGTCTACCATGTCACCAATTTTGGTGTCATCTGTATGAAACCACATTAGTAGACATTTAGTCAAGTGACCAAAAGGTTGCCCAAAAGGTAACATTTACAGAGTATTTTAAAAGGAGAAAGTGAGGTAGAGGCATATAGAGAGTATTTCAAATCTCGGGGCCTAGGCACCTATGAGGGCACAGATATTAAAGTGAAGTGAATAAAATTTGAGAAATGTAGAAGATCAGAATTAAGGAAGCACATGTATCTTAGAGGATGTTGGGCTGGAGGTACTTACAATGAAAGGGAACTGCAAGGCATGAAGGATTTGAAGGCAATAATGGGAACTTTTAAATCAAGACATGCTTAACAAGCAGCCAGTCAGGGTGAATGAATACAGGGATAATGAGGAATCTCACTGTCCATGCAGCCAGGGATGTTCAATAAATGCTGGCCAGCCAGTGATATCCACATCCAATAAATTAATTAAAAGAGCAACTTTATGTGATTTAAGATATAGGCAGCAGAACTCTAGATGAACACAAATTCATGGAGGGGAGAATGAGGGAAGCCAGCCAAAGGTGTATTGGAATGGTTGAGACTAGCGATAACAAAGGCAGGTTTGTGGGTTTCAGCTGCAGATAAACTGAGCCGACCAAAAGTGGAAATAATGAATTTAGTCATAGTATAAATGTGAGATTGCATGCTTGTCTCAGGATCAAGTGCGACACCAAGGTTGTTGACAGACTGAATTAATCTCAGAGATAACGCAGTGTGGAGCTGGAGGAGCGCAGCAGGCCAGGCAGCATGAGAGGAGCAGGAAAATTGATGTTTCGGGTTGGGACTCTTCTTGTCAATTTTCCTGCTTCTCTGATACTGCCTGGCCCGCTGTGTTCCTCCAGCTCCACACTGCATTATCTCTGACTCCAGCATCGGCAGTTCTTGCTATCTCTGACTTAATCTCACATCTGTTGCCAGGGTGAATGATAAATTCAGTGCTAAGGAATAGAGCTTGGATCATCCAGTCCATATCTCGAAATTGTGCACAGGAGAAAAAAAAATTCTGTCATCTATCCTATATTATTTGTTTTATTGATGGAACAATCACCCTACTGAGATAATCCGTAAGACATTTGTTAAATTTACAAATGGCTGCAAAAGTAAATCATGGGTACTCAATACTTTGAAGAAATTGTTAAAATGATTGAATTGCAACTACCACTGGTAGCAGTGGTGGTCCCTGTTGAAGTTACGTAGCTTATTTTGTGACAAAATCAGGTATCAGTTGTTTATTAAAGATTCCCCTATCTTTCCAGAATACTATAATTAACACCTTTCTTAAAAAGTTAACCTTTTTCAAAGATTTAACAGTGTCATTTCTTTCTAACTAGCCAATTTATCAAACTCCCTTGCCTCTCTAAGGTTACAGAATGTATCTCTGTGAGCTAAGTGTGCCATTTCTTTCCTCACATTCCCTCTAATCCTGCCAATTGAATTTCAAAGAAAAATTTAAAATATATTAATTAATTAAGGTGATGACAGCTTTTCATTATTTTCTGTTAAAGGGGATATTTCACCATGAGATGTAAGAAGTACACTTAGTAAGATGTTTCACAAATATATTTGGTTACAAACTTCTTCCTGAATTGATTTTTAACCT